TAGATGGTAGTAAAGGAAGGAATTTTTGCTGCGACCAAAATTTAACAGAATTATGGCCCTTTGTTGATTTTTTCACTAGATACTATGAAGAAATTTTGTGAACGCAACTCCTCTTAAACCGCATGGCAGATTTTGCTCAAACTTACAGGGGATGAACAACCTTAATGTGTAGATGGTAGTAAAGGAAGGAATTTTTGCTGCGACCAAATTTAACAGAATTATGGCCCTTTGTTGATTTTTTCACTATATACTATGTAGAAATTTTGTGAATGCAACTCCTCTTAAACCGCATGGCAGATTTTGCTTTAAACATACAGGGTCCGATGAACAACCTTTAAGGTGAAGATGGTAGTAAAGGAAGGAATTTTTGCTGCGACCAAACTTTACAGAATTATGGCCCTTTTGTTGATTTTTTCACTATATACTATATAGAAATTTTGTGAATGCAACTCCTTTTAAACCGGATGGCAGATTTTGCTTAAACTTCCAGGATGAACAACCTTTATGTGTAGATGGCAGTAAAGGAAGGAATTTTCGCTGCAACCAAATTTAAAAGAATGGCCCTTTGTTGTTTTTTTTCATTATATACTATGTAGAAATTTTGTGATTGCAACTCTCTTAAACCGGATGGCAGATTTTGCTTAAACTTCCAGGGATTAACATGGTAGATGGTAGTAAAGGTAGGAATTTTTGCTGCGACCAAGAACAGAATTATGGCCCTTTGTTGATTTTTAGTTTTCAACTTGTGGCACATGTAGTCCAAAAAATTTTGACCTAGAGTCATAAGATTGACAGAACAGTGGTGTGTGGGGGCATCCGTGTCCTATGGACACATTTTCTAGTTTCACTAGATACTATGAGAAATTTTGTGAACGCAACTCCTCTAAAACCGCATGGCAGATTTTGCTTAAACTTACAGGGATGAACAACCTTAATGTATAGATGGTAGTAAAGGAAGGAATTTTTGCTGCGACCAAATTTAACAGAATTATGGCCCTTTGTTGATTTTTATGCCCCCACAATGTGGGAGCATATAGCGTTGCACTTGTCCGTCCGTCCGTCAGTCCGTCCGTACGTCCCGAAATCTTGTGAACGCAACTCCTCTTAAACCGGATGGCAGATTTTGCTTAAACTTACAGGAATGAACAACCTTAATGTGTAGATGGTAGTAAAGGAAGGAATTTTCGCTGTGACCAAATTTGACAGAATTATGGCCCTTTGTTGATTTTTTCACTAGATACTATGTAGAAATTTTGTGAACGCAACTCCTCTTAAACCGCATGGCAGATTTTGCTTAAACTTACAGGGATGAACAACCTTAATGTGTAGATGGCAGTAAAGGAAGGAATTTTTGCTGCGACCAAATTTAATAGAATTATGGCCCTTTGTTGATTTTTTCACTATATACTATGTAGAAATTTTGTGAACGCAACTCCTCTTAAACCGCATGGCAGATTTTGCTTAAACTTACAGGGTTGAACAACCTTAATGTGTAGATGGTAGTAAAGGAAGGAATTTTTGCTGCGACCAAATTTAACAGAATTATGGCCCTTTGTTGATTTTTTCACTATATACTATGTAGAAATTTTGTGAACGCAACTCCTCTTAAACCGCATGGCAGATTTTGCTTAAACTTACAGGGATGAACAACCTTAAGGTGAAGATGGTAGTAAAGGAAGAAATTTTCGCTGCGACCAAATTTTACAGAATTATGGCCCTTTGTTGATATTTTCACTATATACTATATAGAAATTTTGTGAATGCAACTCCTCTTAAACCGGATGGCAGATTTTGCTTAAACTTCCAAGGATGAACAACCTTAAGTGTAGATGGCAGTAAACGAAGGAATTTTTGCTGCAACCAAATTTAACAGAATTATGGCCCTTTGTTGTTTTTTTCATTATATTCTATGTAGAAATTTTGTGAACGCAACTCTTCTTAAACCGGATGGCAGATTTTGCTTAAACTTCCAGGGATTAACAACCTTAATGTGTAGATGGTAGTAAAGGTAGGAATTTTTGCTGCGACCAAATTTAACAGAATTATGGCCCTTTGTTGATTTTTAGTTTTCAACTTGTGGCACATGTAGTCCCAAAATATTTGACCTAGAGTTATAAGATTGACAGAACAGTGGCGTGTGGGGGCATCCGTGTCCTATGGACACATTTCTAGTTTCACTATATACTATGTAGAAATTTTGTGAACGCAACTCCTCTTAAACCGCATGGCAGATTTTGCTTAAACTTACAGGGATTAACAACCTTAATGTGTAGATGGTAGTAAAGGAAGGAATTTTTGCTGCGACCAAATTTTACAGAATTATGGCCCTTTGTTGATTTTTATGCCACCGAAGCATCTGCGATGCGGTGGCATATAGCGATTCACCTGTGTGAATGTATGTGTGTGTGTTTGTTTGTTTGTGTGTGTGTGTGTGTTATATAGATTATATAGTCAACTTAAAAAATCTTCTTGTGAAAAACCACTTGTCCAATTTCAACCAAACTTGGCAGGATTGATCCTTGGGTGAAGGGCTTCCAAAGTTGTTCAAAGAATTTCATTCCATGCAGAAATCTGGTTGCCATGGCAACCAAAACATGGCAACCAAAAGGAATTATAAGAATAAATTTTATTTAAAAAATCTTCTTGTAAAGATCCAAAAGGCCTAAAGGTTGTTCAAATTATAGCCCTGGGGTCAAAAACGGCCCGCCCCGGGGGTCATTGATTTTCACTATATATACATATAGTAAAAACATAAAATACCTTCTAGTAAAGACCCTAAAGGCCTAGAGCTTAGATATTTTGCATAAGGCATTGTCTGGTAGAAATCTACCAAGATTGTTCAAATTATAGCCCTGGTGTCAAAATAAGCCCCGTCCCGGGGGTCATTGATTTTCACTATATGTACTTATAGTAAAAACTTAAAACCTTCTTGTAAAGACCAAAAAGGCCTAGAGCTTAGATATTTTGCATAAGGCATTGTCTGGTAGACCTTGACCCAAATTGTTCAAATTATAGCCCTGGGGTCAAAATCGGCCCTGCCCCAGGGGTCATTGGTTTTCCTTATAATATATGTATATAGTAAAAAAATCTTCTAGCAATTGACAAATGCTAGAGGTTAGATATTTTGCATGAAACATTGTGAAGTGAACTTCTAGCAAGATTGTTCAAATTATAGCCCTGGTGTTAAAATTGTCCCCGCCCCGGGGGTCATTAATTTTCAATATGTACATATAGTAAAAAATAAAAAAATCTTAGTGTCTGAAGGTACAAGGCCTAGAGCTTTAATATTTGTTAAATGATATTATCTTTAAGTACTCTACCAAAGTTATTCAAATTTTGCCTCTAGTGTCAAAACAAGCCCCGCCCAGGGGGCCATAGGTTTTCCTTATATGTATATAGTAAAAACTTTAAAAAAATTCTTCTAGCAATTGACAAATGCTAGAGGTTAGATATTTTGCATGAAACATTGTGAAGTGAACTTCTAGCAAGATTGTTCAAATTATAGCCCTGGGGTGAAAATTGTCCCCGCTCAGGGGGCCATAGGTTTTCCTTATATGTATATAGTAAAAACTTAAAATAATCATCTTCTCAAAATTTACAAAGGCTAGAGTTAAGATATTTTTCATGAAACATGTAGTGAACCTCTAGCAAGATTATAGCCCTGGGGTCAAAATTGGCCTTGCCCCACCCCCAGGGGTCATTGATTTTCACTATGTACATATAATAAAAAATTAAAAAATCTTCTTGTCTAAAGGTACAAGGCTTAGAGCTTTAATATTTGGTATATAATATCATCTATGGGTCCTCTACTAAAGTTGGTTTAATAATGCCCCTAGTGTTTAAATTGCCCTGCCCCAGAGGCGATAGTTTTCCTTTTATGTATAAAGTAAAAACTTGAAAAATCTTCTTCTCTGAATTGAAAAATCTTCTTCTCTGAATTGACAAAGGCTAGAGGTTAAATATATGGCATGAGACTTTGCGAAGTGAACCTTTACCAAGATTGTTCAAATTATAGCCCTGGGGTCAAAATTGGTCCCGCCCCGAGGGTCATTGATTTTCATTATGTACATTTTGTAAAAGAATAAAAAATATTTTTGTCTGAAGGTACAAGGCATAGAGCTATAGGTCCTCTACCAAAGTTGTTCAAATTTTTCCCCTGGTGTCAAAATTGGCACTGCCCGGGGGCAGTGATTCTCATTATGTACACATAGTAAAAACAGAAAATAAAACAAATGTTTTCTGAATGGGAGAAAGCTACATGTACAACTTAGATATTTGACTTGAAATGTTGTTTGGTAGACTGTATCAAGATTGTTTTGAATTAAATCCTTGGGTCCAAAATTTTACCTTGCCCAAGGGGACAGTGACCTTCTTTCTTGTCCTTTGATGTACAGCAATGAAATTTTGACCATGTGCACAGTTTTAGTTGTAAAATTGAACTTTGATATCAGGTGACCTAGATTTTGATGATGTTACCTACTTTCTTGTCCTTTGATGTACAGCTATGAAATTTAAACCATGTGCACGGATTAAGATGTAAAGTGAACTTTGATTTCAGCTGACCTAGATTTTTACAAAGTGTCTTACTGTGTTGTCCTTTGATGTAGTCATGAAATTTAGGCTGTATGAAATATGACTTTCACCACCAAATTTACTAGACTCGAGTGCATTGATATATTCCTACTCTGATCTTTTAATGAGTTAACAACAGATTTAACCACTAATCTGATATAAAAAATTAGATAGGTCAGGGATCTATGCATTATGACACTCTTCAAAATTGTATAGAAACAAAAAAAATATGTTCCTACACTACTATTTAGTGTTGTATTAATGCGGTGGCATAGCATTTTTCTCAAATGCAATCTTGTTTTTTTTATGTTTTGGTGTGATGGCAAGTTCTTGAGAAATTCACTGTGTATAAGAGTTATTTCAGTACTAAAATGTTATCTATTTATAGATTTATGTTTCTATTTTTGGATTTTCATTTCTATTTTTAGATTAACCAACTTGAGAGAGAGGTTGAGCAGCACAAGACCCAGCTAAGAACAGCAAACACTGAGGTAATAATATATTTATTACATCATAATACATGTAATAATTTATTTTGGATTTTACTCACCAAAAAGACTCTTAAATGTGGTATAAATTTAACATTAACATCTGCAGTATCTGCATTTTTGCATAGTAAGAAGACACAGTTATACAGGTAAACCTGTGGACAAAGGCCATTCAAAGGAGAGACCAAACATGGCCTTTATAAACAAGTGGTCTTGATTTGGAGGTTACTCTGTTGATGTTAGCCAATAAATGGTTAACAAATAAATGGTTGACGAGGAATGACCTTTATTTACAGGGTGGTCTTTCTGTGGTGGTGGTCTTTTACACATGTTTGACTGTATGCTATATAAATATACCAAAATGATTTGTCACTCTTATTCCATTGTCTGAGATTTACTTAAATGGTTATTAGTCCCCTACCGGTTTACCGGAGGGGACTTTAGGTTTACCCTCCGTCCGTCTGTCTGTCCGTCTGTCTGTCTGTCAGTCTGTCTGTCTGTCTGTCAGAAACTTGAAATATGGGTAGATGGCAGTCTGGAGATTATGCATGTCTTTTTCTTTTCTTCCTATGTTGAAAATTCTGGTTGCTATGGCAACAAATAGACTGAAAATATGCCAAATTTTACACATAAACTGGATCCTGTGTTCGCAAAAAGTAATAGAAATATTTTTATGAAACTTGTAATATGGGTAGATGGCAGTCTGGAGATTATGCACGTTTTTTTCTTTTCTTCCTATGCTGAAAATTATGGTTGCTATGGCAACACATAGACTGAAAATATGGCAAATTTTACACTTACACTGAATCCAGTGATAACTCAAAAAGTACTGGAAATATTTTTATGAAACTTGATATATGGGTAGATGGCAGTCTTGAGATTATGCATGTCTTATCTGTTCCCCCTATTTTGAAAAAATATTGGTTGCCTTGGCAACAAATAGGCTTAAAACATGGCAAATATAACATTGTTTGTGATAAGTCATTATATACTATGTAGAAATTTTGTGAACGCAACTCCTCTTAAACCGGATGGCAGATTTTGCTTAAACTTCCAGGGATTAACAACCTTAATGTGTAGATGGTAGTAAAGGTAGGAATTTTTGCTGAGACCAAATTTAACAGAATTATGGCCCTTTGTTGATTTTTAGTTTTCAACTTGTGGCACATGTAGTCCAAAAAATATTTGACCTAGAGTCATAAGATTGACAGAACAGTGGCGTGTGGGGGCATCCGTGTCCTATGGACACATTTTTAGTTAACTCCAGTCTTAGAGAATGAGGAAATAAATTTAGAATTGTTTTGCTCATATATATGTTGAATATAATACATGTTTTATTTTTGTCGTGTTTCAGATTGGATCTGGACAAAGTTCATCCCTTCAAAACTCTATGACCTCACAGACTGCTTCCAATGTTAGTGCTCTTGTCTCACTACAACAGAATGCCTTGCATGATAATTTGGGTCCCAGTCGAACAGAATTAACCAGTGTTACAGGAAGTGGTTTATCGTTTATGAAAGGAAGTAGTTTATCAGCAGGGTCACAGTCTGTTGCTGGTCCCTCAAATGCCATTCCAGCATCATCGGTGTCCCAAAATGCAATGTTACAACAAAGACAGAAGCCTCAAAGATCAAAGTTACCACCACCATCAAAGGTATTATCATATAAACATTAATCTTCAAATTTTATATTATTCACATTGGATAATTGATTTCATCCTAGTTTTTGATATACACATATTTGATAATGATACAATGTTAGGAATCAGGTAAACTTGAGATAAATCACCCTTAACTATCTAATGATCTAATGAACATAGACACTGTATATATCATATTTTATGTCTTTGTCTGTTAATATGAGTCAAAATTAGGAACAACCCATATCAATTTGCTTATGACAGGTGTAAATAACTATATTTTGTAACATATCTTTTTTAGACAATAATAATGAAGTCTGTCATTCGTCGTTATCCAGTACAAAAGACATTCTTTACAATAAATTTTATTGTTTGTGATAAATGATAACATAAGTTCTGTAATAGATATCATTAAATTTTGCCTGGAACTAAAAAAGTACTTATTTGACTTTACATATTGTCATTTAGATTGTTCAGATGTAGAAAAAAAAGATTTAAAGAAATGTTTTTAGATGTGTCATTTAAAATAGAACCAAAAAAAAAATCTTTTTTTTGCACACCAAGTGTATACATGAGTGAAATCGACATACATGGTTTGTATAGACAAGGATATTTACAATTTACAATTGTAACAGGTGCCTCAATGTCAGAAATGGAAAACTATGAATCATTTGCCCCTCACCTCTGGTACTACAATCCTGTTGAAGAATATTAAATTCTCTCCTATGAAAAATATCTAACCTGCTGCCTGATGTCTACAAGAATGTTTGGATTACATTAAACAAGTTTTAAGCGTTTCTAGGGGTGTGGATCATCGGATAAGTGACGATCCGATCCGAACCACGATTCAGCACTTACGATTCACAAATCGAACCACAAATCTTTTGTTATCAAGACACCCATAAAAACATGTACATTAGTTATAAAAACATGTTAAATTAAAAAAACAAACAATACTAAACATTAAACATATAAACTAGGTTTATGTTTTTATTCTTTGGAGGAGTATTTTTGTTTTGTTTTTTGAAACCAATTACTTCCTAGCTCAGCATCATGGTACATGGTCTTTAACCGGAAAAAATTGTATTTAGTTAAACTTCATATGATTTATACTCAAATAGTATTTTTCTTGATTTTAAGAGTGTGAGAAACAGTGAAAGTATATAAAAAAATTAAATCGCAATCCACAATCTCTGGGCTTAAGAATATTCAAACTCGATTTTTTCACTTTGATTCGTGATTATCCAAGTACTCGGATACTCACCCCAGCCCTAAGCGTTACTATAGTGGAAATAAGTCTCCGATATTTATATTTTATTTCACTATAGTAATTTTATGTACTATGAAACACTATAGTAATTTTATGTACTATGAAAAAAAATTATACATTTTATTACAGGGCTTTCATTTGTGGAAGTTTGGAAGTCATTTACGCCTTGATTTTGGCTTGCGACTTCAAAAAATACAAAGATATAATGCTTTTCCTGCTTAACCTATATAGTGTTACATTCATTGTCAGACATTTTGCAGTCAGTTTAAGACTTAATGGAAGCCCTGCTGTAGGCTTAAGCAGGCACAGATTTGAGCCGAGCATCTTTAGAATTCTTGGTTGTCATGGCAACAGGTAACAGATAAGTTTGACCAACTATTGCAATTCTATTTCATTTATGATTTTCAGATTCCAGCATCAGCTGTTGAGATGCCTGGTTATATGATGACAACATTGGACGTTCAGTTTGGTAACCTCGAGTTCGGTTCTGACAGCTCAGCATTCTCATTTAGAGGAAATGAATCTGTTAATAGTGCTTTCACTAGTGCTGATTCTAACAGGTGAGCTTGGTTATCTGTGGTTACAGTAGATTATACCCTGAAATATTTTATTGGTGTTGAAAAGTGTCAGATAGATTGTATATGGGTTTTTTGTAATTTAAAAAATGATTATTTTTTGTGTGTGCAAGGTTAGGCATGAAAGAGAGCCTTTTATCAAGCTCCTCATGTAAAATGAGACATGAAAAGTATCATGTGACTAAGTTTGGATCCTCCTGCTATGGGAGAGTGTCAGATTTATAATCTAGGTGTCCGTTGTTTGATCAAAGGGTGTGGTGAAATTTCTCTGTAACAATTGATCCTTTATTTAGTCATATGAGCCGCATCATGACAAAAACAACATAATGGTTTTGCGACCAGCATGGATCCAGACCAGCCTGCGCATCCACGCAGTCTGATCAGGATCCATGCTGTTCGCTATCAGTTTCTCTACTTGTAATAGAGATGGTATGTGAACAGCATGGATCCTGATCAGACTGCGCGGATGCGCAAGCTGGTCTGGATCCATGCTGGTCACAAACCCATTATGTTGGTTTTGTCGTGACGCGGCTCATGGTTATTTGTCTCTCAGTGCTGATTTAGTGATCAAGTCTGTAACTTGCGGAGAAATTGTAATTACTGGTTAGTTATTTACGAAATCTGGTGTAGGGGTACAACCAAAAAATTGTTTTAAAAAAAAATTTGTAAAAATCACAAAAGCGAACAAATTTATTCCAGTAGGAACAATCTCTAAATTCTTTACAAGATTCTGTTAATCATAAGAAATATAGAGTAAGAAAAATAAGAGGACAAATTTGAGATTTATAAAACAGCAAACTGATTGATAAAGAGGGTTTAACCCCTGGAAACGTTGGTGGTTGTGAAATTAGATAGTTTAACTGTTTACACAACATATTTTATTTTGACAGCATATCAACTGTAAATGATCATGGCGGTGCAACTGTGGGTCAGGTACAGAATTTAAGTAAAACGAGCGAGTCACTGATATCAGGCGGAGTTGAACAAAGTTCTCCTAGGAGCAGTTCCCTATGTCAGCAGTCACCATACACAACACGAACCAAACAGAACCAGGTATTTTCGTCTGGATTTATTTAGTATTTTTAGAGTTATTGCCCTTCACTTAGAAAATTTTTGCAATTTTCAACTTGTGTGTTGCAAGTTACTCAAAAAGGATTTGACATATTCATTAAACCTTATGGGCTGGTTGCTCAGCATATTTAGATTTGCACCTGGGGTTTCGCTTGTGGATTTATCAAGTATTTGTAGAGTTATTTCCCTTGACTTACTGTAGTAAAAAGAGTGACAGAACAGCGCGGTGGAGGCACCTGTGTCCTATGGACACATTTCTAGTTTTTAGCTCACCTGTCACAAAGTGACAGGGTGAGCTTTTGTGATCGCTTTTCGTCCGGCGTCCGTCCGTCCGTCGTCCGTCCGTCGTCCGTAAACTTTTACTTTAAATGACATCTCCTCATAAACCACTAAGCCAATTTCATCCAAACTTCACAGGAATGTTCCTTTGGTGGTCACCTTTAAAAATTGTTCAAAGAATTTAATTCCATGCAGAACAAGATATTTGGCATGAAACATCTTCTAGTGAGTGTCTACCAAGATTGTTCAAATAAAAGCCCTGGGGTCAAAATTGGCCCCGCCCCGGGGGGTCATTGATTTTCCCTATATGCATATAGTAAAAACTTAAAACATCTTCTTTTAAAGAACCCAAAGAGCTAGAGCTAAGATATTTAGCATGAAACATGTTCTAATGGGTGTCTACCAAGTTTGTACAAATAAAAGCCCTGGGGTCAAAATTGGCCCCGCCCCGGGGGGTCATTGATTTTCCCTATATGCATATAGTAAAAACTTAAAAAATCTTCTTTTAAAGAACCCAAAAAGCTAGAGCTAATATATTTAGCATGAAACATGTTCTAATGGGTGTCTACCAAGTTTGTTCAAATAAAAGCCCTGGGGTCAAAATTGGCCCCGCCCCGGGGGGTCATTGATTTTCCCTATATGCATATAGTAAAAACTTAAAAAATCTTCTTTTAAAGAACCAAAAGAGTTAGAGCTAAGATATTTAGCATGAAACATGTTCTAATAAGTGTCTACCAAGTTTGTTCAAATAAAAGCCCTGGGGTCAAAACTGGCCTGGCCCAAGGGATTGTTTTTAGCTCGACTTTTCTATGAAAAGGGGAGCTATCCTACTCGCCCCGGCGAGCGTTAGCGTTGGCGTCACACCTTGGTTAAGTTTTTCGTACCACCCCACTTTATTTCAGAAGTATTACAAGTATGGCTTTGAAACTTACCATACTTGTTCACCATCATAACCTCCATCTACAGACAAGAGTACATAACTCTGTCAAGGTTTTTGACAGAATTATGGCCCTTTTTTGACTTAGAAAGTGTATTGAGCTTGGTTAAGTTTTTTGTACCACCTCACTTTATTTCAAAACCATTGGAGGAATTGCTTTGAAACTGACCATACTTGTTTACCATCACGACCTTCATCAACAGACAAGAGGACATAACTCTGTCAAGGTTTTTGACAGAATTATGCCCCTTTTTGACTTAGAAAATACATTGAATATGGGTAAAATCCACTTATTGCCTTAACCCTTTGAGATATTGCTTTGAAACTTTTAATGCTATTTCACATCATTACCCCCATCTGTACGCAAGAGAAGGTAACTCTGTCAGGGATTTGTTTTAAAAATTAAGGCCTTTTATCGACTTAGAATCTTGGTTAAGTTTTTTGTACCAGTCAACTTTTTGACTGAACTGGTTGAGATATTAAATTGAAAGTTGGAATACTTGTTTACCATCATGGTCCCAAACATGGGCAGGAGAAGGTAATTCTGTTAAGGATTTTATTTGAATTATGGCCCTTTTTGACTTAGAAACTCAGTTAAAATTTTCATTCTTGTCCACTTGTTGACCTAACCATTTGAGATATTACTTTGGAACTTGGAGTTCTTATGTGCCATCATGAGACCTATCTGTAAGCAAGAGAAGATAACTCTGTGAAAATGTTTCTTGATTTGTACTTAGAAATTCCTAGTTAAAGTCTTGTGTGCCCTTAACTGTCAAAGTTTTGTTTTATAGGCAAGCACTAAAAAAGTCGAGCGCGCTGTCCTTCTGACAGCTCTTGTTAACTATATGACTTTGTGTATAGTAATTACTTAAAAAAAATCTTCTTTTAAAAAGCCCAATGAGCTAGAGCTTAGATGTTTAGCATGAAACATCTTCTTATGGGTGTCTACCAAGTTTGTGCAAATAAAAGCCCTTGGGTTTAATTGGCCCTGCAACGTTGGGGGGGGGGATTGGGGTTGTGGGGGGGCCTATATACAGGTGAGCGATCTCAGGGCCATCATGGCCCTCTTGTATATTTGTCTTAATATTTCCATATCTTTGTCACTGGTCAAGGAAATATAGGTTTAATATACTGTTAGGAATAGTGATAGGGGGTTTGTTCTAAGACTTTGTGGAACAAATGAATATATCATTGTTAAATAATATAATACAGAAATATGATATGATTGGAGTGTATGCAAGCTTGAAGCGCCTTCACAATTTTGAATTAGTGTTTGAAATTATTTTTTGTCCAGTAGGATTGCAGTATTTCAAATGAATCGTAACACATTTACTTTGGTTAATCAACAAACTGTGAATCAGTCTAGTAAATCAACTGCTCAAATCAAATTAAATTTTATTTATTGTCAGTATATATATATATATATAACTTTTCACAAAACATAACAAAAAGTTATTTATAGATTTTGACCGACTGTTTATAGAAATAATTTAAAACACTAAGTTTGTTAGAATTTATTAGTATGTATTTACAAAATTAAATTGGTTGTGACCAATTTAATTTTGCAAATACGTACTAATACACTTTAACCTAAACTAAATTCTATATTTTCTTTCTTTCAAAATTAATGTTGATCAATTTTAAAAAGAAGTTTATTGTTCTAACTGTTGTGTATTTATCTATACAGGTTAGAGAGAGATTAAGCGTTGCTCTCGAGAGAGTTTCAACCCTAGAGGAGGAGCTTGCCACTGCCAACCAGGAGGTGAGTAAATTTGAGCCGCGTCACGACAAAACAAACATAATGGGTTTGTCAGCGCACCCTGATCAGGATCCATGCTGTTCGCTTACAAACCCTATAGCAAGTAGAGAAACTGATAGCGAACAGCATGGATCATGATCAGACTGCGCGGATGCGCAGGCTGGTCTGGATCCATGCTGGTCGCAAACGCACTATGTTGGTTTTGTCATGACCCGGCTCATTTTAGCTGAAATATCTGCATTTCAAGTAACTCTAGTTATAATTTGGGTGATTGTAATGAGGAATTAAGTGATTCAAATGATTATTTTAATGATTCAAATGATAAATGCAGTGATTCAAATGATTATTTTGGGGCATTCATGGCCAAGTTGTTAAGGTTGTTGACTTCAAACCTCTCGCTGTGCGTTTGAATCCCAACAAGGACTTTGGATTCTTCCATGTGGAGTAGTGGCTCAAGTATGATTTACTGGTATTTTTAGTAGTTTTTGAAAGTCCTGATTCAGAAAAATAGGAAACTTTATATCTTCTTGTCTGTAACAATGATGGTGTAATCGTAATCAGTTATGGTAATTGATTGTAATCAAACACATTTTCCCCAAAATAATTGACTGTAATCAGTACTCAAAATTACTTTCAAAATCATTTGAAATATGTAATCCAGAGTAATTGTGATGTAATTATGATTACTTTTGCGAAAGCAATCAAAAGTATTAAATTATACATTTCTATCAAGTGTAATGGATTATTAATCATTAACATGAAATTTATCTGTGTAATTGATTAATAATTGATTACATGTGACTATAGTTGATAACCATTCCTGATTTATGTATTATTGAAATGTTAAAAAAATATAGTCTTGAATATACATGTAGATTAAAAACTTTAATAAAAAGTTATCAAGTTTCAATTTAGTTGACCATGTATAATTGTAGGAAGAGGAAATTTCCTTGTATTGAACTCTTCATGTATTTAACTCTATGATTATGTTTGAGATATATATTAATAAAAGGAAATTGTGAGGTTATTTAAAAGTTTTGTTACCACTACCCAATCAGATTTTAATGCTGATGACTTCCTTTTAATACTGTGATAGGAAATTATTACTTCAGTGGTACAGTCTGCCTGTGTCGGAGCAGTTGTATATAAAATGTTTATGTCTATATCTAAAGGACTCCTTTGGCTTCTGTCAGTTACTATAGATTAAAATGATTAATAAAATCAGATGACATAAAACTGTCCTTGTATTTGTTATGATAAGGATGTGTCATATACATGTATCCATATAATGATATATATTTATTCATTATATACTAATAAATAAAATATTGATCCAATAATATATGTAAAATATTGATCAAATAATATGTGTATTTTCATTTTCAATATTTTCACTGTAAAAAATTATTTTTCACTGCAGTGACCATTTCACCCCTTTCCCAATCCAAATTAACTACCTTAGAAAAAAAAAAGAAAAAAAAAAGGTTCCCCAAAAATATATAATTGTTTTAACTTCTGAGCAAAATTAAATTGTTTGACTTGTTCTTGAAGAAAAAAAATTATGTGATCTTTTGCATTTAAAAGTCATGTATCAAGTGCTTTTTAAACTTTTGTTATGATTAATTCTTCAGAGGGATGAATCTTTCTCCAGATTTCTATGTCTATTTATAGTTAATTACATATATTTACAGTTGTTTACATTACGGGAACAGCAAACAAAATCCCGCCATTCCAGCGGCTCTACAGAGGATGGTAGACATTCAGTGAAGAATGACCCGACATCACCCCCACCTAGCTCAGATCATACTGTAGAAAAAGATCATCATCCAAAGGTAATGGAATACTGAAACAAACTTCAATAGCTTTTGTCACTTGTATAGAGCCAGGCCAGCATGTACCTTCCATGCAGTCCGACCAGGCTCTATACTGTTGGCTTACTGTTTGTTCACGTCATATTCCGAAAGATACTGAACGTGACCAGTTTTAAAAATAGGCATATCAGAAATTCATTCTGATGAGGTATTTGAATTAGGTTTTGGTTAAAGGCTTTGAATTTGAATTCATTTCAAAGGGTTATGACTTGCTGCTTGATAATGTATATATATTTGATAAACATACAAATGTATAATCTGTTATAAATCAGACTATGCAGCAGATAAAAAGTTTCAAGAAGTGGCATTCTTGTCATTTATTATCCTTATTATGTAATTTGTATTAATTATTTGGAAGTTAATATTAAGAAAAATTAAGTTTAATTTGTTTGTTTAAAAAAAGTTGACAAGATTTTTTAGATAAACTATAAATACTTCCATGAATTATTTGGTAATTAATTTGAAGAAATGACTCGATCACAAATCAGATAAAGCAGATGTTATCAATGTATTTATTTTATAATGAACGTTAATTTTCTGTTCACATAAATCATAAATTAATATGGTGAATGTTTTCTTAGGTAGTTGCGAATTTTCCATATTCTTGTTTTGTTTTTCAGAGATTATCAAATGGATCTATAGACCCGGATTCTGATGTGAATAGAGTTATAGAATTACAAGAAACTGTTGAAAAACAGAACTCTGAACTTACAAATACGCGAACAAAAATGTTAGAATTGAACAATAAGTTTACTGAAATTGAGGAGAATTATACAACTGCACAAAAGGATTTAATCAAAGCTCAGGAACAAGTTGTGAAACTGCAGAGAGATCTCAGAGAGGTAAATGTATTCTAGGTCATATACGTTTTAAAGGCCCATTATGCCCTAGAAATGTGCTCTAGGTTGATTTTAAAAGCCCATTTTGCCCTAGAAATGTACTTTAAGTCGGGCTAAAAAAGGGCCCATTATGCCCAAAGATACTTGTTTGATCTCATATGCAACCATTGCCTGCATATCCACTGCACATCCACTGTTCGCTTTTATATTCATAAAAAAATTTCTGACTGAAAAACAAACAGTGGTGATCCTGATCAGCCTGCACATGTGTGCAGACTGATCCCGATCTGCACTGGTCGCATATGAAATTTAACACACATCTATGGGTTAAAGGCCCATTATATCGAAGAAATGCTTTTACATTCCTTTTTTTAAAAGGTTTTTATACCCCCGCACAACAAAGTTGTAAGGGGGGTATACTGGAATCAGCTTGTCTGTCCGGCTGTCCGGCCATCCGTCGGTTTTTTTCTTGTCCGCCCAATAACTTAAGATTCCTTTGACCCTTAGTCTTCATATTTGGCATGGAGGTTAGTCATGATTAGTAGATGACCCCTATTGATTTTGAGGTCACTAGTTCAAAAAGCTTGTCCGCTTAATAACTTAAGATTCCTTTGCCCTACAGTCGTCATATTTGGCATGGAGGTTAGTCATGATTAGTAGATGACCCCTTTTGATTTTGAGGTCACTGGATCAAAGGTCAAGGTCATAGGGACTTTGACTTCAAAAAGTTTGTCCACCCATTAACTTAAGATTCCTTTGACCCACAGTCTTCATATTTGGCATGGATGTTGATCATGACTATAAAGTGACCCCTATTGATTTTGAGGTCACCAGGTCAAAGGTCAAGGTCACAGGGACCTTGACAAAAAAAAAATTTTCTTCTCAATTGCTAAAGAATGTCCTGTCCGCAATGTATTGATTTTGACATTTTCACTTTTGAAGCATGTAGAATACATAACTTAGCAATGCACTGGCTTAGTAACCTCAGATTTGGCAGGGAGGTTGTCCTTGTGCTCTAAATGGCCACTGTTGATTCTGACAAAGTGGTATGCAGGGGTATTCACGCCATGATAGTGGCAGTTCTAGTTATTTTTGATGTATGTTTATAGTTTCCAAAATGTTACTCATCCAAAATGTTACTCATTGGCCAATCACCTGAACTATCTTTTTCTTACATCACTTTATTGGCAATAATGAATAGTATAGTTATAGTGATTTAGCTTTTGTATGGAAGTCAAAATACTACTTTGTTTACATTTTGCTATTTTTATAACAAAACATTTCACATTTAATGCTAATTTCCTCAGATAACAAACATCTAACATGCTCTAAAACCATTATTTTAACATTATAAAACTCATGTTTCCCCTTTCCAAAGAAGTAAAAATTTATATATCTTTTTGAAGCAAAGTGCCTTTAAGCAAAATATTTTTTAGAACTCATAAATTATAAAACTATGTTGTTTTAACAATCCTATGGTCAATTCTTGAAAAATTTGATTAATAGAAAGTCTCTGTTATGTAGCATACTTGACTATTGTGCATAATCAGAAAATATTATGCTGGAATTTTAAATAGTACTTTTATTCTTTGACCAGTTACTAATGACTTCCTGAATTGGCCATTTGCTTATAGGGAAATATGCAAACATGTTTCTTTCATACAGGTATTTCAGACATATACTTTTTCAAAATTCAGACAATAAATTTGTATTCTATGGACATGAGGAAAACGCTGAAGTTTTGGTTTTATTGTTATGAATCCATCATGTTAAACATACCATACTTTTTCAAACAGGTTATATCCTAACTCCACATTAAATTAAAAGGGTCAGACTTGAACTTACCATAAGAAAAAAAAGAAAGAAAAAACCCAACTTTTCAGTGAATTATTTAACAAAATAAATTTCTGTAACTGAAACATTATTAATTTACAGGTAAGTAGTAGTCTATTGGTGTCTGTAATATCCCCTGTAACTCATGAATTGTTGGTTTGAGGCTTACTTTGGGAACAATTCTGTTTTTATGTCATGAAACCATCACTGGTTGGTCCAGGAAAATCCCTGATTTATTGGAAGTTGAGAGAACGTTTTTCGCAATTAAACTTAAAATTTAGGTGAAAGCATCTAGGTTAGCAGACCCCAGAAAATATAAAATTTTAGTGCACATGCTTATTGGCAGCTGCAGCCCCCACACTGCCGCTTTTTTTAACATGTTTATTTTTGAAACTACAACAAAATTCAGAATAACATTTAGAAACAGAATAAAATCATAGTAGCAAAATCGCATGCATACTCATTTAGTTCTGGGGATTCCTAAACTAGTTCTGGAATTCGCTAAATTAGTTCTGGGGTCTGCGTAACTAGATTTTATCCAATTTATGTCAAAATTTACAGATGAAGTAGTTTAAACTTATGACCAGTCAGTAGCCTTAAAAATCAAATTCTGTGTTTGTTTTACAGTCAATAGCACAAAAAGAAGACCAAGAAGAAAGGATAGCTACATTAGAAAAACGCTACTTAACTGCTCAGATAGAAACTACATCCTTACGTGATTTAAACGATAAACTAGAGTCAGAGCTAGCTACCAAAGATGGTCAATTAAAAACAGTAAGTTTTTTTAATGCTACAAAATTTTGTGTGGTTGTAGTGGTGTTGGTAGTTTTCACTCCGGATCACGGCAGAACGTCACATTGAAATTACTAGAGCTCAGTTCAGCCACTGCATTGTTCCTGGGCAGGCTGTAAAACAGTTTACCAGTACAAGTTGCCTTCACTTACGCAAGGAACAGATTACTTCTGTACATGCAAGATCAGAGGTACAGTGTGAATGACTGTAGAAAAAATTTCATGATCGATCACAAGGAAAGTGACATTCGCTGCCAGGGAATCGAGACCTGGTCGAACGATTCACAGCCCAGAGTTCTACCTATTCAGCTAACCAGATGGTTAGGAATTTTGTTTCCATGCTAGTTTGTTTTTTAACTCACCTGTCACAAAGTGACAGGGTGAGCTTTTGTGATTTTTTCCGGCGTCCGTCCGTCGTCCGTCCGTAAACTTTTACTTTAAATGACATCTCCTCATAAACCACTAAGCCAATTTCATCCAAACTTCACAGGAATGTTCCTTTGGTGGTCACCTTTAAAAATTGTTCAAATATTTTAATTCCATGCAGAACTCTGGTTACCATGGCAACAGAAAGAAAAAACTTTAAATATCTTCTTTTAAAAAACCCATAGAGCTAGAGCTTAGATATTTGGCATGAAACATCTTCTAGTAAGTGTCTACCAAGATTGTTCACATAAAAGCCCTGGGGTCAAAATTGGCCCCGCCGCAGGGGGTCATTGATTTTCCCTATATGCATATAGTAAAAACTTAAAAAATATTCTTTTAAAGAACCAAAAGAGCTAGAGCTAAGATATTTAGCATGAAACATCTTCTAATGAGTGTCTACCAAGTTTGTTCAAATAAAAGCCCTGGGGTCAAAATTGGCCCGCCCCAGGGGGTCATTGATTTTCCCTATATGCATATAGTAAAAACTTAAAAATCTTCTTTTAAAGAACTCAAAGAGCTAGAGCTAAGATATTTAGCATGAAACATGTTCTAATAAGTGTCTACCAAGTTTGTTCAAATAAAAGCCCTGGGGTCAAAATTGGCTCCGCCCGGGGGTCATTGATTTTCCCTATATGCATATAGTAAAAACTTAAAAAATCTTCTTTTAAAGAACTCAAAGAGCTATAGCTAAGATATTTAGCATCAAACATGTTCTAATGGGTGTCTACCAAGTTTGTTTAATTAAAAGCCCTGGGGTCAAAATTGGCCCCGCCCCGGGGGTCATTGATTTTCTTTATATGTGTATAGCAAAAACTTAAAATCTTCTTTGAAAAAACCCAAATAGCTAGAGTTTAGATATTAAGCATGAAACATCTTGTAGTAAGTTTCTACAAAGTTTGTTCAAATTAAAGCCCTGGGGTCAAAACTGGCCTGGCCCAAGGGATTGTTTTTAACTATATGACTTTGTGTATAGTAATTACTTAAAAAAAAATTTCTTTTAAAAAGCCCAATGAGCTAGAGCTTAGATGTTTAGCATGAAACATCTTCTTATGGGTGTGTACCAAGTTTGTGCAAATAAAAGCCCTTGGGTTTAATTGGCCCTGCAACGTTGGGGGGGGGGGGATTGGGGTTGTGGGGGGGCCTATATACAGGTGAGCAATCTCAGGGCCATCATGGCCCTCTTGTATATTTGTCTTAATATTTCCATATCTTTGTCACTGGTCAAGGAAATATAGGTTTAATATACTGTTAGGAATAGTGATAGGGGGTTTGTTCTAAGACTTTGTGGAACAAATGAATATATCATTGTTAAATAATATAATACAGAAATATGATATGATTGGAGTGTATGCAAGCTAGAAGCGCCTTCACAATTTTGAATTAGTGTTTGCAATTATTTTTTGTCCAGTAGGATTGCAGTATTTCAAATGAATCGTAACACATTTACTTTGGTTAATCAACAAACTGTGAATCAGTCTAGTAAATCAACTGCTCAAATCAAATCAAATTTGATTTATTGTCAGTATATATATATATATATATATATAACTTTTCACAAAACATAACAAAAAGTTATTTATAGATTTTGACCGGCTGTTTATAGAAATAATTTAAAACACTAAGTTTGTTAGAATTTATTAGTATGTATTTACAAAATTAAATTGGTTGTGACCAATTTAATTTTGCAAATACGTACTTATACACTTTAACCTAAACTAAATTCTATATTTTCTTTCTTTCAAAATTAATGTTGATCAATTTTAAAAAGAAGTTTATTGTTCTAACTGTTGTGTATTTATCTATACAGGTTAGAGAGAGATTAAGGGTTGCTCTCGAGAATGTTTCAACCCTAGAGGAGGAGCTTGCCACTGCCAACCAGGAGGTGAGTAAATTTGAGCCGCGTCACGACAAAACCAACATAATGGGTTTGTCCGCGCACCCTGATCAGGATCCATGCTGTTCGCTTACAAACCCTATAGCAAGTAGAGAAACTGATAGCGAACAGCATGGATCATGATCAGACTGCGCGGATGCGCAGGCTGGTCTGGATCCATGCTGGTCGCAAACGCACTATGTTGGTTTTGTCATGACCCGGCTCATTTTAGCTGAAATATCTGCATTTCAAGTAACTCTAGTTATAATTTGGGTGATTGTAATGAGGAATTAAGTGATTCAAATGATTATTTTAATGATTCAAATGATAAATGCAGTGATTCAAATGATTATTTTGGGGCATTCATGGCCAAGTTGTTAAGGTTGTTGACTTCAAACCTCTCGCTGTGCGTTTGAATCCCAACAAGGACTTTGGATTCTTCCATGTGGAGTAGTGGCTCAAGTATGATTTACTGGTATTTTTAGTAGTTTTTGAAAGTCCTGATTCAGAAAAATAGGAAACTTTATATCTTCTTATCTGTAACAATGATGGTGTAATCGTAATCAGTTATGGTAATTGATTGTAATCAAACACATTTTCCCCAAAATAATTGACTGTAATCAGTACTCAAAATTACTTTCAAAATCATTTGAAATATGTAATCCAGAGTAATTGTGATGTAATTATGATTACTTTTGCGAAAGCAATCAAAAGTATTAAATTATACATTTCTATCAAGTGTAATGGATTATTTAAGAAATAATATATCCCAAACAGTGATTTTATCGCTCAATAACATCACTGTTTGGAGTTCGGATGCGAGGAATTATATCACGAGGGCGTAGCCCGAGTGATATAATGATGCGCATCCGAACGACAAACAGTGATGTTATCAAGCGATAAAATCACTGATTTGGATATATTATTTCGATTCTAACACGACATCAACAAATAAATGTTGCCGTACTTGATAGTTAAGCAAAATTGCGCCTGATTTGTTTCCGTACTTATTTTCAGCGCGTCGGATTTTTAGTGGTTACGTCACGTGTATAATGATTACCTCACATGTCTAAATATAGAACGTCAAACTGTGCATCTGTTGCATAATAACACACACTTTCTGTTCTTCTATGTTCAATAGGGAAAAATGCGGGTCGTGTTAGAATAATCATTAACATGAAATTTATCTGTGTAATTGATTAATAATTGATTACATGTGACTATAGTTGATAACCATTCCTGATTTATGTATTATTGAAATGTTAAAAAAATATAGTCTTGAATATACATGTAGATTAAAAACTTTAATAAAAAGTTATCAAGTTTCAATTTAGTTGACCATGTATAATTGTAGGAAGAGAAAATTTCCTTGTATTGAACTCTTCATGTATTTAACTCTATGATTATGTTTGAGATATATATTAATAAAAGGAAATTGTGAGGTTATTTAAAAGTTTTGTTACCACTACCCAATCAGATTTTAATGCTGATGACTTCCTTTTAATACTGTGATAGGAAATTATTACTTCAGTGGTACAGTCTGCCTGTGTCGGAGCAGTTGTATATAAAATGTTTATGTCTATATCTAAAGGACTCCTTTGGCTTCTGTCAGTTACTATAGATTAAAATGATTAATAAAATCAGATGACATAAAACTGTCCTTGTATTTGTTATGATAAGGATGTGTCATATACATGTATCCATATAATGATATATATTTATTCATTATATACTAATAAATAAAATATTGATCCAATAATATATGTAAAATATTGATCAAATAATATGTGTATTTTCATTTTCAATATTTTCACTGTAAAAAATTATTTTTCACTGCAGTGACCATTTCACCCCTTTCCCAATCCAAATTAACTACCTTAGAAAAAAAAAAAAGAAAAAAAAAAGGTTCCCCAAAAATATATAATTGTTTTAACTTCTGAGCAAAATTAAATTGTTTCATCCTTATTATGTAATTTGTATTAATTATTTGGAAGTTAATATTGAAACATTAAAAAAAAATTAAGTTTAATTTGTTTGTTTAAAAAAAGTCAACAAGATTTTTTAGATAAACTATAAATACTTCCATGAATTATTTGGTAATTAATTTGAAGAAATGACTCGATCACAAATCAGATAAAGCAGATGTTATCAATGTATTTATTTTATAATGAACGTTAATTTTCTGTTCACATAAATCATAAATTAATATCGTGAACGTTTTCTTACATCGTTGTGAATTTTCCATATTCTTGTTTTGTTTTCAGAGATTATCAAATGGATCTATAGACCCGGATTCTGATGTGAATAGAGTTATAGAATTACAAGAAACTGTTGAAAAACAGAACTCTGAACTTACAAATACGCGAACAAAAATGTTAGAATTGAACAATAAGTTTACTGAAGTTGAGGAGAATTATACAACTGCACAAAAGGATTTAATCAAAGCTCAGGAACAAGTTGTGAAACTACAGAGAGATCTCAGAGAGGTAAATGTATTCTAGGTCATATACGTTTTAAAGGCCCATTATGCCCTAGAAATGTGCTCTAGGTTGATTTTAAAAGCCCATTTTGCCCTAGAAATGTACTTTAGGTCGGGCTAAAAAAGGGCCCATTATGCCCAAAGATACTTGTTTGATCTCATATGCAACCATTGCCTGCATATCCACTGCACATCCACTGTTCGCTTTTATATTCATAAAAAAATTTCTGACTGAAAAACAAACAGTGGTGATCCTGATCAGCCTGCACATGTGTGCAGACTGATCCCGATCTGCACTGGTCGCATATGAAATTTAACACACATCTATGGGGTAAAGGGTTAAAGGCCCATTATATCGAAGAAATGCTTTTACATTCCTTTTTTAAAAGGTTTTTATACCCCCGCACAACAAAGTTGTAAGGGGGGTATACTGGAATCAGCTTGTCTGTCCGGCTGTCCGGCCATCCGTCGGTTTTTTCTTGTCCGCCCAATAACTTAAGATTCCTTTGACCCTTAGTCTTCATATTTGGCATGGAGGTTAGTCATGATTAGTAGATGACCCCTATTGATTTTGAGGTCACTAGTTCAAAAAGCTTGTCCGCTTAATAACTTAAGATTCCTTTGCCCTACAGTCGTCATATTTGGCATGGAGGTTAGTCATGATTAGTAGATGACCCCTTTTGATTTTGAGGTCACTGGATCAAAGGTCAAGGTCATAGGGACTTTGACTTCAAAAAGTTTGTCCACCCATTAACTTAAGATTCCTTTGACCCACAGTCTTCATATTTGGCATGGATGTTGATCATGACTATAAAGTGACCCCTATTGATTTTGAGGTCACCAGGTCAAAGGTCAAGGTCACAGGGACCTTGACAAAAAAAAATTTTCTTCTCAATTGCTAAAGAATGTCCTGTCCGCAATGTATTGATTTTGACATTTTCACTTTTGAAGCATGTAGAATACATAACTTAGCAATGCACTGGCTTAGTAACCTCAGATTTGGCAGGGAGGTTGTCCTTGTGCTCTAAATGGCCACTGTTGATTCTGACAAAGTGGTATGCAGGGGTATTCACGCCATGATAGTGGCAGTTCTAGTTATTTTTGATGTATGTTTATAGTTTCCAAAATGTTACTCATCCAAAATGTTACTCATTGGCCAATCACCTGAACTATCTTTTTCTTACATCACTTTATTGGCAATAATGAATAGTATAGTTATAGTGATTTAGCTTTTGTATGGAAGTCAAAATACTACTTTGTTTACATTTTGCTATTTTTATAACAAAACATTTCACATTTAATGCTAATTTCCTCAGGTAACAAACATTTAACATGCTCTAAAACCATTATTTTAACATTATAAAACTCATGTTTCCCCTTTCCAAAGAAGTAAAAATTTATATATCTTTTTGAAGCAAAGTGCCTTTAAGCAAAATATTTTTTAGAACTCATAAATTATAAAACTATGTTGTTTTAACAATCCTATGGTCAATTCTTGAAAAATTTGATTAATAGAAAGTCTCTGTTATGTAGCATACTTGACTATTGTGCATAATCAGAAAATATTATGCTGGAATTTTAAATAGTACTTTTATTCTTTGACCAGTTACTAATGACTTCCTGAATTGGCCATTTGCTTATAGGGAAATATGCAAACATGTTTCTTTCATACAGGTATTTCAGACATATACTTTTTCAAAATTCAGACAATAAATTTGTATTCTATGGACATGAGGAAAACGCTGAAGTTTTGGTTTTATTGTTATGAATCCATCATGTTAAACATACCATACTTTTTCAAACAGGTTATATCCTAACTCCACATTAAATTAAAAGGGTCAGACTTGAACTTACCATAAGAAAAAAAAGAAAGAAAAAACCCAACTTTTCAGTGAATTATTTAACAAAATAAATTTCTGTAACTGAAACATTATTAATTTACAGGTAAGTAGTAGTCTATTGGTGTCTGTAATATCCCCTGTAACTCATGAATTGTTGGTTTGAGGCTTACTTTGGGAACAATTCTGTTTTTATGTCATGAAACCATCACTGGTTGGTCCAGGAAAATCCCTGATTTATTGGAAGTTGAGAGAACTTTTTTCGCAATTAAACTTAAAATTTAGGTGAAAGCATCTAGGTTAGCAGACCCCAGAAAATAAAAAATATTAGTGCACATGCTTATTGGCAGCTGCAGCCCCCACACTGCCGCTTTTTTTAACATGTTTATTTTTGAAACTACAACAAAATTCAGAATAACATTTAGAAACAGAATAAAATCATAGTAGCAAAATCGCATGCATACTCATTTAGTTCTGGGGATTCCTAAACTAGTTCTGGAATTCGCTAAATTAGTTCTGGGGTCTGCGTAACTAGATTTTATCCAATTTATGTCAAAATTTACAGATGAAGTAGTTTAAACTTATGACCAGTCAGTAGCCTTAAAAATCAAATTCTGTGTTTGTTTTACAGTCAATAGCACAAAAAGAAGACCAAGAAGAAAGGATAGCTACATTAGAAAAACGCTACTTAACTGCTCAGATAGAAACTACATCCTTACGTGATTTAAACGATAAACTAGAGTCAGAGCTAGCTACCAAAGATGGTCAATTAAAAACAGTAAGTTTTTTTAATGCTACAAAATTTTGTGTGGTTGTAGTGGTGTTGGTAGTTTTCACTCCGGATCACGGCAGAACGTCACATTGAAATTACTAGAGCTCAGTTCAGCCACTGCATTGTTCCTGGGCAGGCTGTAAAACAGTTTACCAGTACAAGTTGCCTTCACTTACGCAAGGAACAGATTACTTCTGTACATGCAAGATCAGAGGTACAGTGTGAATGACTGTAGAAAAAATTTCATGATCGATCACAAGGAAAGTGACATTCGCTGCCAGGGAATCGAGACCTGGTCGAACGATTCACAGCCCAGAGTTCTACCTATTCAGCTAACCAGATGGTTAGGAATTTTGTTTCCATGCTAGTTTGTTTTTTAACTCACCTGTCACAAAGTGACAGGGTGAGCTTTTGTGATTTTTTCCGGCGTCCGTCCGTCGTCCGTCCGTAAAAATTTACTTTAAATGACATCTCCTCATAAACCACTAAGCCAATTTCATCCAAACTTCACAGGAATGTTCCTTTGGTGGTCACCTTTAAAAATTGTTCAAATATTTTAATTCCATGCAGAACTCTGGTTACCATGGCAACAGAAAGAAAAAACTTTAAATATCTTCTTTTAAAAAACCCATAGAGCTAGAGCTTAGATATTTGGCATGAAACATCTTCTAGTAAGTGTCTACCAAGATTGTTCACATAAAAGCCCTGGGGTCAAAATTGGCCCCGCCGCAGGGGGTCATTGATTTTCCCTATATGCATATAGTAAAAACTTAAAAAATATTCTTTTAAAGAACCAAAAGAGCTAGAGCTAAGATATTTAGCATGAAACATCTTCTAATGAGTGTCTTACCAAGTTTGTTCAAATAAAAGCCCTGGGGTCAAAATTGGCCCGCCCCAGGGGGTCATTGATTTTCCCTATATGCATATAGTAAAAACTTAAAAATCTTCTTTTAAAGAACTCAAAGAGTTAGAGCTAAGATATTTAGCATGAAACATGTTCTAATAAGTGTCTACCAAGTTTGTTCAAATAAAAGCCCTGGGGTCAAAATTGGCTCCGCCCGGGGGTCATTGATTTTCCCTATATGCATATAGTAAAAACTTAAAAAATCTTCTTTTAAAGAACTCAAAGAGCTATAGCTAAGATATTTAGCATCAAACATGTTCTAATGGGTGTCTACCAAGTTTGTTTAATTAAAAGCCCTGGGGTCAAAATTGGCCCCGCCCCGGGGGTCATTGATTTTCTTTATATGTGTATAGCAAAAACTTAAAATCTTCTTTGAAAAAACCCAAATAGCTAGAGTTTAGATATTAAGCATGAAACATCTTGTAGTAAGTTTCTACAAAGTTTGTTCAAATTAAAGCCCTGGGGTCAAAACTGGCCTGGCCCAAGGGATTGTTTTTAACTATATGACTTTGTGTATAGTAATTACTTAAAAAAAAATTTCTTTTAAAAAGCCCAATGAGCTAGAGCTTAGATGTTTAGCATGAAACATCTTCTTATGGGTGTGTACCAAGTTTGTGCAAATAAAAGCCCTTGGGTTTAATTGGCCCTGCAACGTTGGGGGGGGGGATTGGGGTTGTGGGGGGCCTATATACAGGTGAGCAATCTCAGGGCCATCATGGCCCTCTTGTATATTTGTCTTAATATTTCCATATCTTTGTCACTGGTCAAGGAAATATAGGTTTAATATACTGTTAGGAATAGTGATAGGGGGTTTGTTCTAAGACTTTGTGGAACAAATGAATATATCATTGTTAAATAATATAATACAGAAATATGATATGATTGGAGTGTATGCAAGCTAGAAGCGCCTTCACAATTTTGAATTAGTGTTTGCAATTATTTTTTGTCCAGTAGGATTGCAGTATTTCAAATGAATCGTAACACATTTACTTTGGTTAATCAACAAACTGTGAATCAGTCTAGTAAATCAACTGCTCAAATCAAATCAAATTTGATTTATTGTCAGTATATATATATATATATATATAACTTTTCACAAAACATAACAAAAAGTTATTTATAGATTTTGACCGGCTGTTTATAGAAATAATTTAAAACACTAAGTTTGTTAGAATTTATTAGTATGTATTTACAAAATTAAATTGGTTGTGACCAATTTAATTTTGCAAATACGTACTTATACACTTTAACCTAAACTAAATTCTATATTTTCTTTCTTTCAAAATTAATGTTGATCAATTTTAAAAAGAAGTTTATTGTTCTAACTGTTGTGTATTTATCTATACAGGTTAGAGAGAGATTAAGGGTTGCTCTCGAGAATGTTTCAACCCTAGAGGAGGAGCTTGCCACTGCCAACCAGGAGGTGAGTAAATTTGAGCCGCGTCACGACAAAACCAACATAATGGGTTTGTCCGCGCACCCTGATCAGGATCCATGCTGTTCGCTTACAAACCCTATAGCAAGTAGAGAAACTGATAGCGAACAGCATGGATCATGATCAGACTGCGCGGATGCGCAGGCTGGTCTGGATCCATGCTGGTCGCAAACGCACTATGTTGGTTTTGTCATGACCCGGCTCATTTTAGCTGAAATATCTGCATTTCAAGTAACTCTAGTTATAATTTGGGTGATTGTAATGAGGAATTAAGTGATTCAAATGATTATTTTAATGATTCAAATGATAAATGCAGTGATTCAAATGATTATTTTGGGGCATTCATGGCCAAGTTGTTAAGGTTGTTGACTTCAAACCTCTCGCTGTGCGTTTGAATCCCAACAAGGACTTTGGATTCTTCCATGTGGAGTAGTGGCTCAAGTATGATTTACTGGTATTTTTAGTAGTTTTTGAAAGTCCTGATTCAGAAAAATAGGAAACTTTATATCTTCTTGTCTGTAACAATGATGGTGTAATCGTAATCAGTTATGGTAATTGATTGTAATCAAACACATTTTCCCCAAAATAATTGACTGTAATCAGTACTCAAAATTACTTTCAAAATCATTTGAAATATGTAATCCAGAGTAATTGTGATGTAATTATGATTACTTTTGCGAAAGCAATCAAAAGTATTAAATTATACATTTCTATCAAGTGTAATGGATTATTTAAGAAATAATATATCCCAAACAGTGATTTTATCGCTCAATAACATCACTGTTTGGATTTCAAATGCGAGGAATTATGTCGTGAGTGCGAAGCCTGAGTGATATAATGATCCGAAAGACAAACAGTGATGTTATCAAGCGATAAAATCACTGATTTGAATATATTACTTAGATTCTAACACGACATCAACAAATAAATGTTGCCGTACCTGATAGTCAAGTTAAACTGCGCACTGATTTGTCTCCGTACTTATTTCCAGTGCATTGCATTTTTAGTGGTTATGTCACATGTATAATGGTTACATCACACGTCTAAATATAGAACGTCAAACTGGGATTTTATTGCATAATAACACACACTTTCTGTTCTTCTATGTTCAATAGGGAAAAATGCGGGTCGTGTTAGAATAATCATTAACATGAAATTTATCTGTGTAATTGATTAATAATTGATTACATGTGACTATAGTTGATAACCATTCCTGATTTATGTATTATTGAAATGTTAAAAAAATATAGTCTTGAATATACATGTAGATTAAAAACTTTAATAAAAAGTTATCAAGTTTCAATTTAGTTGACCATGTATAATTGTAGGAAGAGAAAATTTCCTTGTATTGAACTCTTCATGTATTTAACTCTATGATTATGTTTGAGATATATATTAATAAAAGGAAATTGTGAGGTTATTTAAAAGTTTTGTTACCACTACCCAATCAGATTTTAATGCTGATGACTTCCTTTTAATACTGTGATAGGAAATTATTACTTCAGTGGTACAGTCTGCCTGTGTCGGAGCAGTTGTATATAAAATGTTTATGTCTATATCTAAAGGACTCCTTTGGCTTCTGTCAGTTACTATAGATTAAAATGATTAATAAAATCAGATGACATAAAACTGTCCTTGTATTTGTTATGATAAGGATGTGTCATATACATGTATCCATATAATGATATATATTTATTCATTATATACTAATAAATAAAATATTGATCCAATAATATATGTAAAATATTGATCAAATAATATGTGTATTTTCATTTTCAATATTTTCACTGTAAAAAATTATTTTTCACTGCAGTGACCATTTCACCCCTTTCCCAATCCAAATTAACTACCTTAGAAAAAAAAAAAAGAAAAAAAAAAAGGTTCCCCAAAAATATATAATTGTTTTAACTTCTGAGCAAAATTAATTGTTTCATCCTTATTATGTAATTTGTATTAATTATTTGGAAGTTAATATTGAAACATTAAAAAAAAATTAAGTTTAATTTGTTTGTTTAAAAAAAGTCAACAAGATTTTTTAGATAAACTATAAATACTTCCATGAATTATTTGGTAATTAATTTGAAGAAATGACTCGATCACAAATCAGATAAAGCAGATGTTATCAATGTATTTATTTTATAATGAACGTTAATTTTCTGTTCACATAAATCATAAATTAATATCGTGAACGTTTTCTTACATCGTTGTGAATTTTCCATATTCTTGTTTTGTTTTCAGAGATTATCAAATGGATCTATAGACCCGGATTCTGATGTGAATAGAGTTATAGAATTACAAGAAACTGTTGAAAAACAGAACTCTGAACTTACAAATACGCGAACAAAAATGTTAGAATTGAACAATAAGTTTACTGAAGTTGAGGAGAATTATACAACTGCACAAAAGGATTTAATCAAAGCTCAGGAACAAGTTGTGAAACTACAGAGAGATCTCAGAGAGGTAAATGTATTCTAGGTCATATACGTTTTAAAGGCCCATTATGCCCTAGAAATGTGCTCTAGGTTGATTTTAAAAGCCCATTTTGCCCTAGAAATGTACTTTAGGTCGGGCTAAAAAAGGGCCCATTATGCCCAAAGATACTTGTTTGATCTCATATGCAACCATTGCCTGCATATCCACTGCACATCCACTGTTCGCTTTTATATTCATAAAAAAATTTCTGACTGAAAAAACAAACAGTGGTGATCCTGATCAGCCTGCACATGTGTGCAGACTGATCCCGATCTGCACTGGTCGCATATGAAATTTAACACACATCTATGGGTTAAAGGCCCATTATATCGAAGAAATGCTTTTACATTCCTTTTTTAAAAAGGTTTTTATACCCCCGCACAACAAAGTTGTAAGGGGGGGTATACTGGAATCAGCTTGTCTGTCCGGCTGTCCGGCCATCCGTCGGTTTTTTCTTGTCCGCCCAATAACTTAAGATTCCTTTGACCCTTAGTCTTCATATTTGGCATGGAGGTTAGTCATGATTAGTAGATGACCCCTATTGATTTTGAGGTCACTAGTTCAAAAAGCTTGTCCGCTTAATAACTTAAGATTCCTTTGCCCTACAGTCGTCAATATTTGGCATGGAGGTTAGTCATGATTAGTAGATGACCCCTTTTGATTTTGAGGTCACTGGATCAAAGGTCAAGGTCATAGGGACTTTGACTTCAAAAAGTTTGTCCACCCATTAACTTAAGATTCCTTTGACCCACAGTCTTCATATTTGGCATGGATGTTGATCATGACTATAAAGTGACCCCTATTGATTTGAGGTCACCAGGTCAAAGGTCAAGGTCACAGGGACCTTGACAAAAAAAAATTTTCTTCTCAATTGCTAAAGAATGTCCTGTCCGCAATGTATTGATTTTGACATTTTCACTTTTGAAGCATGTAGAATACATAACTTAGCAATGCACTGGCTTAGTAACCTCAGATTTGGCAGGAGGTTGTCCTTGTGCTCTAAATGGCCACTGTTGATTCTGACAAAGTGGTATGCAGGGGTATTCACGCCATGATAGTGGCAGTTCTAGTTATTTTTGATGTATGTTTATAGTTTCCAAAATGTTACTCATCCAAAATGTTACTCATTGGCCAATCACCTGAACTATCTTTTTCTTACATCACTTTATTGGCAATAATGAATAGTATAGTTATAGTGATTTAGCTTTTGTATGGAAGTCAAAATACTACTTTTTTACATTTTGGCTATTTTATAAAAAAAACTTTTCACATTTAATCCCAATTTCCTCAGGAAACAAACAAACAATGCTCAAAACCATTTTTTAAACCCATTAAAAACCATTTTTTCCCCCTTTTCCCAAAGGGAATTTTTAAAAATTTAAATTTTTCTTTTTTGGAAGAAAAGTGCTTTAAAACCAAAAAATTTTTTAGAACTAAAAATTCATAAAAATTTTTTGGTTTTAACAACCCTAGGTAATTTTTTTTAAAAATTTTTTAAAGAAAGTCCTGTTAGTACATATTTGGGAATTTGTGCAAAAATCAAAAATTTTAAATGCGGAAATTTAAAAATAGTTAATTTTTAATCTTTGCCATTACAAATACTTCCAAATTTGGGCCATTTCCCTTATAGGGAAAAGCAAACATTTTCTTTCATCCCAGGTATTAAAGCCCATTCCCTTTCAAAATTCAGAAAATAAATTTTTGAATTAGGGAAATGGGGAAAACGCTGAAGTTTTGGTTTTATTGTTATGAATCCATCATGTTAAACATACCATACTTTTTCAAACAGGTTATATCCTAACTCCACATTAAATTAAAAAGGGTCAGACTTGAACTTACCATAAGAAAAAAAGAAAGAAAAAACCCAACTTTTCAGTGAATTATTTAACAAAATAAATTTCTGTAACTGAAACATTATTAATTTACAGGTAAGTAGTAGTCTATTGGTGTCTGTAATATCCCCTGTAACTCATGAATTGTTGGTTTGAGGCTTACTTTGGGAACAATTCTGTTTTTATGTCATGAAACCATCACTGGTTGGTCCAGGAAAATCCCTGATTTATTGGAAGTTGAGAGAACTTTTTTCGCAATTAAACTTAAAATTTAGGTGAAAGCATCTAGGTTAGCAGACCCCAGAAAATAAAAAATATTAGTGCACATGCTTATTGGCAGCTGCAGCCCCCACACTGCCGCTTTTTTTAACATGTTTTATTTTTGAAAACTACAACAAAATTCAGAAATAACATTTAGAAACAGAATAAAATCATAGTAGCAAAATCGCATGCATACTCATTTAGTTCTGGGGATTCCTAAACTAGTTCTGGAATTCGCTAAATTAGTTCTGGGGTCTGCGTAACTAGATTTTATCCAATTTATGTCAAAATTTACAGATGAAGTAGTTTAAACTTATGACCAGTCAGTAGCCTTAAAAAAATCAAATTCTGTGTTTGTTTTACAGTCAATAGCACAAAAAGAAGACCAAGAAGAAAGGATAGCTACATTAGAAAAACGCTACTTAACTGCTCAGATAGAAACTACATCCTTACGTGATTTAAACGATAAACTAGAGTCAGAGCTAGCTACCAAAGATGGTCAATTAAAAACAGTAAGTTTTTTTAATGCTACAAAATTTTGTGTGGTTGTAGTGGTGTTGGTAGTTTTCACTCCGGATCACGGCAGAACGTCACATTGAAATTACTAGAGCTCAGTTCAGCCACTGCATTGTTCCTGGGCAGGCTGTAAAACAGTTTACCAGTACAAGTTGCCTTCACTTACGCAAGGAACAGATTACTTCTGTACATGCAAGATCAGAGGTACAGTGTGAATGACTGTAGAAAAATTTCATGATCGATCACAAGGAAAGTGACATTCGCTGCCAGGGAATCGAGACCTGGTCGAACGATTCACAGCCCAGAGTTCTACCTATTCAGCTAACCAGATGGTTAGGAATTTTGTTTCCATGCTAGTTTGTTTTTTAACTCACCTGTCACAAAGTGACAGGGTGAGCTTTTGTGATTTTTTCCGGCGTCCGTCCGTCGTCCGTCCGTAAACTTTTACTTTAAATGACATCTCCTCATAAACCACTAAGCCAATTTCATCCAAACTTCACAGGAATGTTCCTTTGGTGGTCACCTTTAAAAATTGTTCAAATATTTTAATTCCATGCAGAACTCTGGTTACCATGGCAACAGAAAGAAAAAACTTTAAATATCTTCTTTTAAAAAACCCATAGAGCTAGAGCTTAGATATTTGGCATGAAACATCTTCTAGTAAGTGTCTACCAAGATTGTTCACATAAAAGCCCTGGGGTCAAAATTGGCCCCGCCGCAGGGGGTCATTGATTTTCCCTATATGCATATAGTAAAAACTTAAAAAATATTCTTTTAAAGAACCAAAAGAGCTAGAGCTAAGATATTTAGCATGAAACATCTTCTAATGAGTGTCTACCAAGTTTGTTCAAATAAAAGCCCTGGGTCAAAATTGGCCCGCCCCAGGGGGTCATTGATTTTCCCTATATGCATATAGTAAAAACTTAAAAATCTTCTTTTAAAGAACTCAAAGAGCTAGAGCTAAGATATTTAGCATGAAACATGTTCTAATAAGTGTCTACCAAGTTTGTTCAAATAAAAGCCCTGGGGTCAAAATTGGCTCCGCCCGGGGGTCATTGATTTTCCCTATATGCATATAGTAAAAACTTAAAAAATCTTCTTTTAAAGAACTCAAAGAGCTATAGCTAAGATATTTAGCATCAAACATGTTCTAATGGGTGTCTACCAAGTTTGTTTAATTAAAAGCCCTGGGGTCAAAATTGGCCCCGCCCCGGGGGTCATTGATTTTCTTTATATGTGTATAGCAAAAACTTAAAATCTTCTTTGAAAAAACCCAAATAGCTAGAGTTTAGATATTAAGCATGAAACATCTTGTAGTAAGTTTCTACAAAGTTTGTTCAAATTAAAGCCCTGGGGTCAAAACTGGCCTGGCCCAAGGGATTGTTTTTAACTATATGACTTTGTGTATAGTAATTACTTAAAAAAAAATTTCTTTTAAAAAGCCCAATGAGCTAGAGCTTAGATGTTTAGCATGAAACATCTTCTTATGGGTGTGTACCAAGTTTGTGCAAATAAAAGCCCTTGGGTTTAATTGGCCCTGCAACGTTGGGGGGGGGGATTGGGGTTGTGGGGGGGCCTATATACAGGTGAGCAATCTCAGGGCCATCATGGCCCTCTTGTATATTTGTCTTAATATTTCCATATCTTTGTCACTGGTCAAGGAAATATAGGTTTAATATACTGTTAGGAATAGTGATAGGGGGTTTGTTCTAAGACTTTGTGGAACAAATGAATATATCATTGTTAAATAATATAATACAGAAATATGATATGATTGGAGTGTATGCAAGCTAGAAGCGCCTTCACAATTTTGAATTAGTGTTTGCAATTATTTTTTGTCCAGTAGGATTGCAGTATTTCAAATGAATCGTAACACATTTACTTTGGTTAATCAACAAACTGTGAATCAGTCTAGTAAATCAACTGCTCAAATCAAATCAAATTTGATTTATTGTCAGTATATATATATATATATATATAACTTTTCACAAAACATAACAAAAAGTTATTTATAGATTTTGACCGGCTGTTTATAGAAATAATTTAAAACACTAAGTTTGTTAGAATTTATTAGTATGTATTTACAAAATTAAATTGGTTGTGACCAATTTAATTTTGCAAATACGTACTTATACACTTTAACCTAAACTAAATTCTATATTTTCTTTCTTTCAAAATTAATGTTGATCAATTTTAAAAAGAAGTTTATTGTTCTAACTGTTGTGTATTTATCTATACAGGTTAGAGAGAGATTAAGGGTTGCTCTCGAGAATGTTTCAACCCTAGAGGAGGAGCTTGCCACTGCCAACCAGGAGGTGAGTAAATTTGAGCCGCGTCACGACAAAAACCAACATAATGGGTTTGTCCGCGCACCCTGATCAGGATCCATGCTGTTCGCTTACAAACCCTATAGCAAGTAGAGAAACTGATAGCGAACAGCATGGATCATGATCAGACTGCGCGGATGCGCAGGCTGGTCTGGATCCATGCTGGTCGCAAACGCACTATGTTGGTTTTGTCATGACCCGGCTCATTTTAGCTGAAATATCTGCATTTCAAGTAACTCTAGTTATAATTTGGGTGATTGTAATGAGGAATTAAGTGATTCAAATGATTATTTTAATGATTCAAATGATAAATGCAGTGATTCAAATGATTATTTTGGGGCATTCATGGCCAAGTTGTTAAGGTTGAAGAATGACCCGACATCACCCCCACCTAGCTCAGATCATACTGTAGAAAAAGATCATCATCCAAAGGTAATGGAATACTGAAACAAACTTCAATAGCTTTTGTCACTTGTATAGAGCCAGGCCAGCATGTACCTTCCATGCAGTCCGACCAGGCTCTATACTGTTGGCTTACTGTTTGTTCACGTCATATTCCGAAAGATACTGAACGTGACCAGTTTTAAAAATAGGCATATCAGAAATTCATTCTGATGAGGTATTTGAATTAGGTTTTGGTTAAAGGCTTTGAATTTGAATTCATTTCAAAGGGTTATGACTTGCTGCTTGATAATGTATATATATTTGATAAACATACAAATGTATAATCTGTTATAAATCAGACTATGCAGCAGATAAAAAGTTTCAAGAAGTGGCATTCTTGTCATTTATTATCCTTATTATGTAATTTGTATTAATTATTTGGAAGTTAATATTGAAACATTAAAAAAAAATTAAGTTTAATTTGTTTGTTTAAAAAAAGTTGACAAGATTTTTTAGATAAACTATAAATACTTCCATGAATTATTTGGTAATTAATTTGAAGAAATGACTCGATCACAAATCAGATAAAGCAGATGTTATCAATGTATTTATTTTATAATGAACGTTAATTTTCTGTTCACATAAATCATAAATTAATATGGTGAATGTTTTCTTAGGTAGTTGCGAATTTTCCATATTTTTCTTGTTTTGTTTTCAGAGATTATCAAATGGATCTATAGACCCGGATTCTGATGTGAATAGAGTTATAGAATTACAAGAAACTGTTGAAAAACAGAACTCTGAACTTACAAATACGCGAACAAAAATGTTAGAATTGAACAATAAGTTTACTGAAGTTGAGGAGAATTATACAACTGCACAAAAGGATTTAATCAAAGCTCAGGAACAAGTTGTGAAACTACAGAGAGATCTCAGAGAGGTAAATGTATTCTAGGTCACCATATACGTTTTAAAGGCCCATTATGCTCTAGAAATTTACTCTAGGTCAATTTTAAAGGCCCATTATGCTCTAGAAATTTACTCTAGGTCAATTTTAAAGGCCCATTATGCTCTAGAAATTTACTCTAGGTCAATTTTAAAGGCCCATTATGCCCTAGAAATGTACTTTAGGTCATATACATTTTAAAGGGCTATAAAAGGCTGATTATGCCCAAGATACTTGTTTGATCTCATATGCAACCATTGCCTGCATATCCACTGCACATCCACTGTTCTCTTTTATATTCATAAAAAAAATTCTGAAAAACGAACAGTGGCGATCCTGATCTTGATCTGCACTGGTCGCTTATGAGATTAAACACACATCTATGGTGTAAAGGGTTAAAGGCCTATTATATCCGAGAAATGCTTTTACATTCCTTTTTTAAAAGGTTTTTATTTTTGATGTATGTTTATAGTTTCCAAAATGTTACTCATTGGCCAATTACCTGAACTATCTTTTTCTTACATTGCTTCATTTGCAATAAGTACAGTAATGCTGATCAAGCCTTTTGTATGGAAGTCAAAATACTACTTTATTTACATTTTGCTATTTTTATAACAAAATATTTCACATTTAATGCTAATTTCCTCAGGTAACAAACATTTAACATGCTCTAAAACCATTATTTTAACATTATAAAACTCATGTTTCCCCTTTCCAAATAAGTAAAAATTTATATATCTTTTTGAAGCATTGTGCCTTTAAGCATGTATTAAAGCTATATCTAAGGAAATATTTTTTTAGAAATCATAAATTATAAAACTATGTTGTTTGAATAATCCTATGGTCAATTCCTGAAAATTTTGATCAATGGAATGTCTCTGTTATTTAAATTAACATACTTAACTAGTATTGTGCATATTCAGAAAATATGTTGGAATTTTAAGTAGTACTTTAGTTCTTTGACTAGTTATCAATGGCTTCCTGAATTTGCCATTTGCTTATAGAGAAATATGCAAAACTAGATTTTATCCAATTTATGTTTAAATTTACAGGGAAACTGATTTAAACTAATGATCAGTCAGTAGCCTTAAAAATCAAAGTCTGTGTTTGTTTTACAGTCAATAGCACAAAAAGAAGACCAAGAAGAAAGGATAGCTACATTAGAGAAACGCTACTTAACTGCTCAGACAGAAACTACATCTTTACATGATTTAAACGATAAATTAGAGTCAGAGCTAGCTACCAAAGATGGTCAATTAAAAACAGTAAGTTTTTTATGCTGCAGAATTTTGTGTGGGGATGATGGTGTTGGTAGTTTTCACTCCAGATTACGGCAGAAAGTCATATTGAAATTACTAGAGCACAGTTCAGCCACCGTATCATTCCTGGGCAGGCTGTCAAGCAGTTTACCAGTACTAGTTGCCTTCACTTTCGCAAGGAACTGATTAATTCTGTACATTCAAAAGCAGAGGTACAGTGTGATTGACCGTAGAAAGGATTTCATGATCAATCGCAACGAAAGTGACATGTGCCGTCTGGGAATTGAACCTGGGTAGCCCGATTCACAGTCCAACGCTCTACTTATTGAGCTAAGTGGATGGCCTCGAATTTTGTGTCCATGCTAGTTTGTTCTTTATATATTCTGTCTTAATTATACAAAATTGTACATGACAAAGTACTAGAGAAGAAGAAACTTCTAAACCATAATAAAAAATATTTAAAGCTACATGCCATCAGGTGGGTAAGTAAAAACTTGTTTAAACAATTCTGTATGAAGACATGTGAAGCGTTTTGAAATTATATATATATTCACAATTCATGGGATGCTTTGAGAGTTTTTTTCTTTAACATAGAATGAATTTACTATTATGTCACCATATTTTAACCCAGTTCTAATGGAGTAACAGTTATTATTGTGTGTATTTTTTTACACAAGCTTTATGTCCTTTTATACGATAACGAAAGTAACTTTATTTAATAACTTTCTCATAAATTTTAGTTATATATAGTTAAACTATAATTTTCTCGTTTTGAAAAAATGCAGTTAATCATTTATAAATCAGTTAAAATTAACACTCTCTTATTTATATACGTAGCTTGAAGAAAAAATCAGAGTGCTGCAAGAAAAATTAGAAGGGGCGGAGTCTAAATTACAGCAGTCATTACACAAAGCTGAAGCTCTGCCTACTGTGGAGGCGGAGCTACAGCAGAGAATGGAGGCGTTGTCAGAGGCGGAGAGACGCCATGGCTCAATAGAGGAGAGAATGCAGCAATTAGAATCCAAAGTTCAAGAGAAAGATTCAGAATTACAGAGGGTAATTATCTCCCTGTTTGTTGAAATAGTACATTGTAATTGTACTTCCAAAATCAATCTCTTAACACCAAGATATGATTCTGATGGTGTGTGAAATCATGCTCAATATAGAGTCAATTTTTTAAAAGTTTCTACAGTGTAACTTCCGAATTCCGGAACTTCTGAAATCCGGAAACTTCTAAAAACCGAACAATTTTTACGGTCCCGATTTTTTCCCTTCTATTTTCTATTAATATAATACTTCTGAATTCCGGAACTTCTAAATTCTGAATTCCTGACGATATTTTCGTAAAATTAGAGTCAAATCAATGCAATTTTACCTCCAAAAACCGGAAATATCCTAAGGTGTGAAATACATTGTAAATCGAGAATGTTTACCCTGCAGGAAGATTTAATCTCCCTATCGATTGTTTACTAATTAGCGGTGATCGTGTAATTTGACACACGTTAAAATCACAAACTGTGAAATGGTATGTTTGAAGTGATCCGGTTAATCAAAGTAATTTACGGCGGTCAGTTAATTTGAAGTGTTTATTAGCGGATTAAATGACAATTAGTTTGGACAATGTATGCATCAAACGTCTTTAGGGATTTTATTGCATTTGTTGTACTAATTAATTAACTAGCATCGGACGATATGTAAGTTTATGCAATTAACAACATTTCTACAAACTGATCAATAGAAATTCAAATGCATTTACAGGTAAGATAAAAATGTATTCTTTTCAGCCACATCTTTATCTTGCTTAAAATACTATTATATATGATATTACAGTAATGGCAACATCTTCCTTGACATTTAGTGATATTAAGTGGCTTAGTCTTGTCCACATTATCATAAACCTCTGAATTCCGGAAACCTCTGAAATCCGAACTTTTTGACAAGTCCCATGGGTGTTCGGTTTTCGGAAGTTACACTGTATATGACCTAGTGACAAAGTGATTGAAAACAGGACTTGATGCTGTCAGTAAATGAATCATTTAAAAATATCTAACAAAGACTTTTAATGTAATTGGTTCAAAATGATCACAGCAAGGTTATCATGTTTCTTTTTTTGTTTGTTTGAAAGAACAAGATATCTTGATAAGTAGGATAATGATGATATAATGAGTTCATATATGTTTATTCATTTAAATACTGTATCATATAGAGGATATTGAATGAGTGTAAGTTCAATACTGAATTTATTAAAATTATATTGTGGGAGCCTCTGGCGAGCATAATATTATTTTATTCAACGATTTCAATAAATTCAGTAATAAACTTACACAAATTTAATATTCTATTTATCACATACCAAAAATGAAACCGTTTTAAGTGAAAGAGTCATTTTTAGCTCACCTGTCACAAAGTGACAGGGTGAGCTTTTGTGATCGCTTTTCGTCCGTCCGTCCATCGTCCGTCCGTCCGTAAACTTTTACTTTAAATGACATCTCCTCATAAACCACTAAGCCAATTTCATCCAAACTTCACAGGAATGTTCCTTTGGTGGTCACCTTTAAAAATTGTTCAAAGAATTTAATTCCATGCAGAACTCTGGTTGCCATGGCAACCGAAAGAAAAAACTTTAAATATCTTCTTTTAAAAAACCCTAAGAGCTAGAGCTTAGATATTTGGCATGAAACATCTTCTAGTAAGTGTCTACCATGTTTGTTCAAATAAAAGCCCTGGGGTCAAAATTGGCCCCGCCCCAGGGGGTCATTGATTTTCCCTATATGCATATAGTAAAAACTTAAAAAATCTTCTTTTAAAGAACCCAAAGAGCTAAAGCTAAGATATTTGGCATGAAACATGTTCTAATGAGTGTCTACCAAGTTTGTTCAAATAAAAGCCCTGGGGTCAAAATTGGCCCCGCCCCAGGGGGTCATTGATTTTCCCTATATGCATATAGTAAAAACTTAAAAAATCTTCTTTTAAAGAACTCAAAGAGCTAGAGCTAAGATATTTAGCATCAAACGTGTTCTAATAGGTGTCTACCAAGTTTGTTCAAATAAAAGACCAGAGGTCAAAATTGGCCCCGCCCCGGGGGTCATTGATTTTCCTTATATGTGTATAGCAAAAACTTAAAATCTTCTTTGAAAAAACCCAAATAGCTAGAGTTTAGATATTAAGCATGTAACATCTTCTAGTAAGTGTCTACAAAGTTTGTTCAAATAAAAGCCCTGGGGTCAAAACTGGCCCTGCCCCAGGGGTGTCATTGTTTTTTTAACTGTTTGTGTATAGTAAAAACTTAAAAAAATCTTCTTTTAAAAAACATAATGAGCTAGAGCTTAGATGTTTAGCATGAAACATCTTCTTATGGGTGTCTACCAAGTTTGTTCAAATAAAAGCCCTTGGGTAAAAATTGGCCCCGCCCCAGGGGGGTCATTGATTTTCCCTATATGCATATAGTAAAATCTTTTTAAGAATTCAAAGAGCTAGAGCTAAGATATTTAGCATCAAACATGTTCTAATAGGTGTCTACCAAGTTTGTTCAAATAAAAGCCCTGGGGTCAAAATTGGCCCCGCCCCGGGGGTCATTGATTTTCCTTATATGTGTATTGTAAAAACTTAAAAATCTTCTTTGAAAAAACCCAAATAGCTAGAGTTTAGATATTAAGCAGGAAACATCTTCTAGTGAGTGTCTACAAAGTTTGTTCAAATAAAAGCCCTGGGGTCAAAATTGGCCCCGCCCCAGGGGGTCATTGATTTTCCTTATATGTGTATGGCAAAAACTAAAAAATCTTCTTTGAAAAACCCAAATAGCTAGAGTTTAGATATTAAGCATGAAACTTCTTCTAGTAAGTGTTTTCAAAGTTTGTTCAAATAAAAGCCCTACGGTCAAAACTGGTCCCACCCCAGGGGTGTCATTGTATTGAACTATATTAGTATAGTAAAAACTTAAAAAAATCTTCTTTTAAAAAACCCAATGAGCTAGAGCTTAGATGTTCAGCATGAAACATCTTCTTATGGGTGTCTTCCAAGTTTGTTCAAATAAAAGCCCTGGGGTTTAAACTGGCCCCGCTCCAGGGGCCTATATACAGGTGAGCGACCTCAGGGCCATCATGGCCCTCTTGTAAATTGAATGTTACAGGTAAATTCTAAATGCTATTTACTGAAATTTCCTTTGAATCTGGTGGCTTTTTATTGTTAATGCGAAGTAAATCATTAAACAAAAGGGATTATGGCAAAATGAAAATTTATTTTGACTCTCACCTGTTCACTCACTATATACCTTTAGATGGGCATAATGTCACTTTAATAAAGAAGTTTATTGTTCTGACTGTTGTGTATTTATGTATACAGGTTAGAGAGAGATTAAGGGTTGCTCTTGAGAGAGTTTCAACCCTAGAGGAGGAGCTTGCCACTGCCAACCAGGAGGTGAGTAAATTTGAGCCGCGTCACGACAAAACCAACATAATGGGTTTGCGACCAGCATGGATCCAGACCAGCCTGCGCATCCCCGCAGCCTGATCAGGATCCATGCTGTTCGCTTACAAACCCTATAGCAATTAGAGAACTGATAGCGAACAGCATGGATCCTGATCAGACTGCGCGGATGCGCAGGCTGGTCTGGATCCATGCTGGTCGCAAACGCACTATGTTGGTTTTGTCATGACCCGGCTCATTTTAGCTTTAATCTTTCTTTTGAAATATCTGCATTTCAAGTAACTCTAGTTATAAATTGGGTGATTGTTATGAGGAATTTAGTTATTCAAATGATTATTTTAATGATTCAAATGATAAATGCAGTGATTTAAATGATTATTTTTGGGGCATTCATGGCCAAGTTGTTAAGGTTGTTGACTTCAAACCTCTCGCTGTGTGTTTGAATCCCAACAAGGACTTTGGATTCTTCCATGTTGAGTAGTGGCTTAAGTATGATTTGTTGGTAATTGTAGTAGTTTTTGAAAGTCCTGATTCAGAAAAATAGGAAACTTTAAATCTTCTTGTCTGTATCAATGATGGTGTAATCGTAATCAGTTATGGTAATTGATTGTAATCAAACACATTTTCCCCCGAAGTAATTGACAGTAATCAAAATTACTTTCAAAATCATTTGAAGTATGTAATCGAAAGTAATTGTGTATGTAATTATGATTACTTTTGCGAAAGCAATCATAAGTATTTAATTACACATTTCTATCAAGTGTAATGGATTATTAATCATTAACATGAAATTTATCTGTGTAATTGATTAATAATTGATTACATGTGACTATAATTGATCAGCAGTTGATCCTGTTTTATGTATTATTGAAATGTTGAAAAAATATAGTCTTGAATATTCATGTAGATTAAAGACTTAATAAAAAGGTTATCAAGTTTCAATTTAGTTGACCATGTATAATTGTAGGATGAGGGAATTTCCTTGTATTGAACTCTTCATGTATTTAACTCTATGATTATGTTTGAGATATAAATTAATAAAAGGAAATTGTGAGGTTACTTTAAACTTTTGTTACCACTGTACCCAACCAGATTTTAATGCTGATGACTTCCTTTTAATACTGTGATATGAAATCATTACTTCAGCGGTACAGTCTGCCTGTGTTGGAGCAGTTGTATATAAAATGTTTATGTCTATATTTAAATCAGTCCTTTATAACCAGTAAAATAATTGGCTAATGTCAATAACTATAGATTATTGGTTAATAAAAAATTAAATGAAATCAGAAAGGAAGAAAATGTTGAAATGAAACTGTCTGTCAGTTTGATATGATAGGGATATACATGTGTCATATACATGTATCCATATAATGATATATATTTATTCATTATATACTAATAAATAAAATATTGATCAAATAATATGTAAAATATTGATCAAATAATATGTGTATTTTCGTTTTCAATATTTTCACTGTAAAATTTTTTTTTTTATACCCCCGCACAACAAAGTTGTAAGGGGGGTATACTGGAATCAGATTGTCCGTCCGTCCGGCCGTCCGGCCGTCCGTCCGGCCGTCGGTTTTTTCTTGTCCGCCCAATAACTTAAGATTCCTTTGACCCTTAGTCTTCATATTTGGCATGGAGGTTAGTCATGATTAGTAGATGACCCCTATTGATTTTGAGGTCACTAGGTCAAAGGTCAAGGTCACAGGAGCCTTGACTTCAAAAAGCTTGTCCGCCCATTAACTTAAGATTCCTTTGACCCTTAGTCTTCATATTTGGCATGGAGGTTAGTCATGATTAGTAGATGACCCTTATTGATTTTGAAGGTCACTAGGTTCAAAGGTCAAGGTCACAGGGGCCTTGACTTTAAAAAGCTTGCCGCCCCAATAACTTAAGATTCCTTTGAACCCTTAGTCTTCATATTTGGCATGGAGGTTAGTCATGATTAGTAGATGACCCCTATTGATTTTGAGGTCACTAGGTCAAAGGTCAAAGTCACAGGGGCCTTGACTTCAAAAAGCTTGTCCGCCCAATAACTTAAGATTCCTTTGACCCTTAGTCTTCATATTTTGGCATGGAGGTTAGTCATGATTAGAAGATGACCCCTATTGATTTTGAGGTCACTAGGTCAAAGGTCAAGGTCACAGGGGCCTTGACTTCAAAAAGCTTGTTCCGCCGAATAACTTTAGATTCCTTTGACCCTTAGTCTTCATATTTTGGCATGGAGGTTAGTCATGATTAGTAGATGACCCCTATTGTTTTTGAGGTCACTAGGTCAAAAGGTCAAGGTCACAGGGGCCTTGACTTCAAAAAGCTTGTCCGCCCAATAACTTAAGATTCCTGTGACCTACAGTCGTCATATTTGGCATGGAGGTTAGTCATGACTAGTAGATGACCCCTATTGATTTTTGAGGTCACCCCAGGTCAAAGGTTTCAAGGTCACAGGGACTTTGACTTCAAAAAACTTTGTCTTGCCCCAATAACTTTAGATTCCTTTGACCCACAGTCTTCATATTTGGCATGGTATGTTGATCATGAATTAGTAGATGACCCCTTTGATTTTGAGGTCACACTGGATCAAAGGTCAAGGTCATTAGGGACTTTGACTTAAAAAAGTTTGTCTACCCATTAACTTGATTCCTTTGACCCACCGTCTTCATATTTGGTATGGATGTTGATCATGACTATAAGGTGACCCCTATTGAATTTTGAGGTCACTGGGTCAAAGGTCAAGGTCACAGGGGACCTTGACAAAAAAAAAAGGCTTTTCTCAATTGCTAAAAAATGTCCTGTCCGCAATGTATTGATTTTGGACATTTTCACATTTGAAGCCATGTAGAATACATAACTTAGCAATGCACTGTCTTAGTAACCTCAGATTTGGCAGGGAGGTTGTTCTTGACCTCTAAATGGCCACTGTTGATTCTGACAAAGTGGTATGCGGGGGTATTCAAGCCATTATAGTGGCAGTTCTAGTTTTTTACTGCAGTGACCATTTCACCCCTTTCCCAATCCAAATTAACCATCTTAGAAAAAAAAAAGAAAAAAAAAGGTTTCCCAAAAATATAAAATTGTTTTAACTTCTGTGCAAAATTAAATATTACTATATTATTATACTTGTTCACCATCATAACCTCCATCTACAGACAAGAGTACATAACTCTGTCAAGGTTTTTGACAGAATTATGGCCCTTTTTTGACTTAGAAAGTGTATTGAGCTTGGTTAAGTTTTTTGTACCACCTCACTTTATTTCAAAACCATTGGAGGTATTGCTTTGAAACTGACCATACTTGTTTACCATCACGACCTTCATCAACAGACAAGAGGACATAACTCTGTCAAGGTTTTTGACAGAATTATGCCCCTTTTTGACTTAGAAAATACATTGAATATGGGTAAAATCCACTTATTGCCTTAACCCTTTGAGATATTGCTTTGAAACTTTTAATGCTGTTTCACATCATTACCCCCATCTGTACGCAAGAGAAGGTAACTCTGTCAAGGATTTGTTTTAAAAATTAAGGCCTTTTATCGACTTAGAATCTTGGTTAAGTTTTTAGTACCAGTCCACTTTTTGACTGAACTGTTTGAGATATTAATTTGAAAGTTGGAATACTTGTTTACAATCATGATTCCCAAACATGTCCAGGAGAAGGTAATTCTGTCAAAGATTTTATTTGAATTATGGCCCTTAACTGTCAATGTTTTGTATTATAGGCAAGCACTAAAAAACTTAAAAAATCTAAAAAAATTCATTCCTATCCACTGAACCTGCAGTGTTCAAGGGTATCACACAATTCAGTAAAATAATTCTTCACTAAATATCTTAATGCTCATGGCCATTGTTCACTTTAAAAATACAGAGATTCTTGTATTGCCTTTTACTGCAAAAACTTTTTTTATTGGCAAGCAATAAAAAAGTCGAGCGCGCTGTCTTACGGACAGCTCTTGTTAAACTTTTGTTATGATTAATTCTTCAGAGGGATGAATCTTTCTCCAGATTTCTATATCTATTTATAGTTTATTACATATATTTACAGTTGTTTACATTACGGGAACAGCAAACAAAATCCCGCCATTCCAGCGGCTCTACAGAGGATGGTAGACATTCAGTGAAGAATGACCCGACATCACCCCCACCTAGCTCAGATCATACTGTAGAAAAAGATCATCATCCAAAGGTATTGGAATACAAGAACAAACTTGAATATCCTTTGTCACCAATATAGAGCCAGGCCAGCCTGTACCTTCCATGCAGTCCGACCAGGCTCTATACTGTTGACTTACTGTTTGGTCACTTCATATTCCGAAAGATACTGAAAGTGACCAGTTTCAAAAATTGTCATTTGAGAAATTCTTACTGATGAGGTATTTGAACTAGATTTTAGTTAAATACTTTGAATTAATGTCAAATAATTATGACTTACTGTTTTATTATCTATATATTTTATATACATACAAATGTATAATATGCTGTAAATAGGGCTCTGCAGCTATAAGAAAAAAATACTAGGAAGTGGCATTCTTGTCATTTAATTAGCTTTATTATGTATTGATTGTCTGTGGATGAAAATATTGAAAAATTAAAGAAAATGAAGTTTATTTTGTTTATTTGAAGTCTTAGAAAAAATTGACAAGATCATTTAACTTGTTTATTTTGTTTGTGTGAAGTTAAAAAAGAATTTGCAAGATCTTTTAACTTGTTTATTTTGTTTGTTTGACATTTAAAACAGAATTGAGAAGATCTTTTAGATAATATCTTACATGAATTATTTGGTAATTAATTTGTAGAAATGACTCGATCACAAATCAGATAAAGCAGGTGTTATCAATGTATTTATTATATAATGAACGTTTATTTTCTGTTCACATAAATCATAAATTAATATGGTGAATGTTTTCTTAGGTAGTTGCGAATTTTCCATATTTTTCTTGTTTTGTTTTCAGAGATTATCAAATGGATCTATAGACCCGGATTCTGATGTGAATAGAGTTATAGAATTACAAGAAACTGTTGAAAAACAGAACTCTGAACTTACAAATACGCGAACAAAAATGTTAGAATTGAACAATAAGTTTACTGAAGTTGAGGAGAATTATACAACTGCACAAAAGGATTTAATCAAAGCTCAGGAACAAGTTGTGAAACTACAGAGAGATCTCAGAGAGGTAAATGTATTCTAGGTCACCATATACGTTTTAAAGGCCCATTATGCTCTAGAAATTTACTCTAGGTCAATTTTAAAGGCCCATTATGCTCTAGAAATTTACTCTAGGTCAATTTTAAAGGCCCATTATGCTCTAGAAATTTACTCTAGGTCAATTTTAAAGGCCCATTATGCCCTAGAAATGTACTTTAGGTCATATACATTTTAAAGGGCTAAAAAAGGCTGATTATGCCCAAGATACTTGTTTGATCTCATATGCAACCATTGCCTGCATATCCACTGCACATCCACTGTTCACTTTTATATTCATAAAAAAAATTCTGAAAAACGAACAGTGGCGATCCTGATCTTGATCTGCACTGGTCGCTTATGAGATTAAACACACATCTATGGTGTAAAGGGTTAAAGGCCTATTATATCCGAGAAATGCTTTTACATTCCTTTTTTAAAAGGTTTTTATTTTTGATGTATGTTTATAGTTTCCAAAATGTTACTCATTGGCCAATTACCTGAACTATCTTTTTCTTACATTGCTTCATTTGCAATAAGTACAGTAATGCTGATCAAGCCTTTTGTATGGAAGTCAAAATACTACTTTATTTACATTTTGCTATTTTTATAACAAAATATTTCACATTTAATGCTAATTTCCTCAGATAACAAACATTTAACATGCTCTAAAACCATTATTTTAACATTATAAAACTCATGTTTCCCCTTTCCAAATAAGTAAAAATTTATATATCTTTTTGAAGCATTGTGCCTTTAAGCATGTATTAAAGCTATATCTAAGGAAATATTTTTTTAGAAATCATAAATTATAAAACTATGTTGTTTGAATAATCCTATGGTCAATTCCTGAAAATTTTGATCAATGGAATGTCTCTGTTATTTAAATTAACATACTTAACTAGTATTGTGCATATTCAGAAAATATGTTGGAATTTTAAGTAGTACTTTAGTTCTTTGACTAGTTATCAATGGCTTCCTGAATTTGCCATTTGCTTATAGAGAAATATGCAAAACAGGTATTTTGGACATTTTCTTTTTCAAGACTCAAGGAATAGATTTGTATTCTACAGGAAGCAGATACATGATAATAGCTTTGAATGCATTAATTTTGATTTTATTGTAATGAATCCATCAAGTTAAACATAACATATTTTTTCAAACAGAGTATATCCTAACTCCACATTAAGTCCTCTGAAAAGGGTCAGAATTGAACTTTCCATAGGAAAAAAACAAAACTTCTCCCCCCCCCCCCCAACTTTTAAGTAAATTTTTTTGACATAAAAACAAATATCTATACCTGAAACATAATTAATTTACAGGTAAGCAGTAGTCTATTGGTGTCTGTAATATCCCCTTAACTCATGAATTGTTGGTTTGAGGCTTACTTTGGTAGCAATTTTGTTTTCCTGTGGTGAAGCTATCACTTGTTAGTGCAGGAAAATCACTGAAAAGTCATTATTTACTTTTTCTCGCAATAGTACTTTTTCTCGCAATTAAACATAAAATTTAGGGGAACATATCTAGCAGACCCCACAAAATGAAAATAATAGCACACTTGCTTGTTGGTGGCTGCTGCCGCCAGTCTCCTCCAGGCTTTTTTTTTACATGTTTATTTTCAAAACTACAACAAAATTCTGAATAACATTTTGAAACAGAATAAAAGCATAGAAGCAAAAACACAAGCACATTCATCTAGTTCAGGGGTCTGCTAAACTAGATTTTATCCAATTTATGTTTAAATTTACAGGGAAACTGATTTAAACTAATGATCAGTCAGTAGCCTTAAAAATCAAAGTCTGTGTTTGTTTTACAGTCAATAGCACAAAAAGAAGACCAAGAAGAAAGGATAGCTACATTAGAGAAACGCTACTTAACTGCTCAGAGAGAAACTACATCTTTACATGATTTAAACGATAAATTAGAGTCAGAGCTAGCTACCAAAGATGGTCAATTAAAAACAGTAAGTTTTTTATGCTGCAGAATTTTGTGTGGGGATGATGGTGTTGGTAGTTTTCACTCCAGATTACGGCAGAAAGTCATATTGAAATTACTAGAGCACAGTTCAGCCACCGCATCATTCCTGGGCAGGCTGTCAAGCAGTTTACCAGTACTAGTTGCCTTCACTTTCGCAAGGAACTGATTAATTCTGTACATTCAAAAGCAGAGGTACAGTGTGATTGACCGTAGAAAGGATTTCATGATCAATCGCAACGAAAGTGACATGTGCCGTCTGGGAATTGAACCTGGGTAGCCCGATTCACAGTCCAACGCTCTACTTATTGAGCTAAGTGGATGGCCTCGAATTTTGTGTCCATGCTAGTTTGTTCTTTATATATTCTGTCTTAATTATACAAAATTGTACATGACAAAGTACTAGAGAAGAAGAAACTTCTAAACCATAATAAAAAATATTTAAAGCTACATGCCATCAGGTGGGTAAGTAAAAACTTGTTTAAACAATTCTGTATGAAGACATGTGAAGCGTTTTGAAATTATATATATATTCACAATTCATGGGATGCTTTGAGAGTTTTTTTCTTTAACATAGAATGAATTTACTATTATGTCACCATATTTTAACCCAGTTCTAATGGAGTAACAGTTATTATATTGTGTGTATTTTTTTACACAAGCTTTATGTCCTTGTATACGATAACGAAAGTAACTTTATTTAATAACTTTCTCATAAATTTTAGTTATATATAGTTAAACTATAATTTTCTCGTTTTGAAAAAATGCAGTTAATCATTTATAAATCAGTTAAAATTAACACTCTCTTATTTATATACGTAGCTTGAAGAAAAAATCAGAGTGCTGCAAGAAAAATTAGAAGGGGCGGAGTCTAAATTACAGCAGTCATTACACAAAGCTGAGATTGAAAAATTGAAGAAAGTGATTATTGATAAGGAGTTGTATTTAAGTGAAAAAGAACAAGCATTGAAGGAGAAAGAGTTTGTGTTAACAGAAAAGGACCATGTTATTGAACGTTTGAAGTTAGAACATAAGACAGTTAAGGAAAATTATCAATCAGAGATGAAGAAATGTATGGACAAAATCAAGCAATTGAAAAAAGAACATAAGGGAACTTGTGAAAAGATTGGCATGTTAAAAAAGGAACTTGGTGATAAATCTGCACAGCTTGAACAGCAAGTGTGTAGTTTAGAAGAAAAAGACATCATGGTGGAGGAGTTGAAATCTGAAATCGAGACTTTAAACACGGAAGTGAGAATGCTTGAAAAGTCAAGACAAGAGAGTAGGAATCAGTTAGAAAAGTTAGGACAGGAATATGAAAAGAAAATAGCAGAGAAGGATATGAAAAAGCAGGAAGCAGTGTCTATTGTCGAAAAGATTCTTAAAGCAAAAAAAGATGAAGTTAACAGACTGAAGAAAGAGTTGGAAAAGAGGGGGTTGGAAAAAGTATCTGAAATAAAGAAATGGAGAAGAGTAGAGCTGGAAAGAAATTACAATATATGGCAAACTGAAGTAGAGAATCTGAAGAAGGAAGTGATTCAATTGAAGTTGGAGAGAGATCAGTTGGGTAATAGCAAGCAAATGAAGGCGGGTAAAGTGTGGAGAATGAAGCAAGATGAAATAGATAAAATTAAGAAAGACTGGCAAACTGAAGTAAAGAATCTGAAGAAGGAATGGATAAATTTGAAGGTTGAGTTGGATCAAGTGTGCAAAATGAAGCAAGGTGAAATCAATAACATTGAAAAACGTAAAAAAATTGAATTAGAAAAACTGTATAAAAGGAAAGATGAAGAAATACAAAAAATGAAGAAGGAGAAAGATGATGAGATAAAAAAGATAAAGAGTTCTCAGCAAGAAGAAGACATGAGTAAAACCAAAGAAACAAAGGTAAGTGAAAGGATTTAAAAACAGTTTCTAATTCAAATATTATAGTCAACAATTAGTAGCCGCTTTCCACTTGATGGTACTTGAGGTGTTTCCAATTAGCAGGTTGTAAATCAATAATATTTGGATTAAATACTACATGTACTTTGTTTTCATTTTCTACTTATATGACAAATTATTTCCAATACAGCACTATTTTTTTCATGTGATGCATAATATGCTCTAAAATTATTATTTCAGCATTATTAAACTCACGTTTGCCCCACCTAAAGTATGAAAAAATATTTATTTCTGAGGCATAATGTGCCTGTAAACAATGTAAACAGGGCTCGAATTTAACTTTTTTTGCCACTAGCAATTCTTTGCTAGTGGACATATTTTTAACTAGCAAAAACTGAATTCAACTAGCACTTTTTACGACAATGATTTTTTAATTCCAAAATTGTTTAAGATTGTAATCTATTTGGACGAGTTTGAAATTTTCGAACTGCCCGGGGTACTAATCAGCAACATAACTTTCTACTCAAAAACTTGATTTAGGGGACAGGGATTCTTATCAAATGTCAATCTACATGTAAGAAAAATAATAATGCAATATTGTCGCCATACCGACGATGTCTGGTCTAGATTATGCGCACAACAGTCAGCTCAAAATATTTTAGCAACATTTCCTAGTTTTGTTATCGGAAGACACATTTGCTTCAGTACGTGGGAAGAAGTTCGTTTAGACATTTTATTCCGATCACGCTTGATTTACACGGACAAAATTACATTTGGACTGGTTTAAATTTGTGTACTTTTTTAAGCGAGGTTAAGGTATAGAAAATGTAAACCAGACAGCAAGTGCGTGCATAGTTTATAACTCGGCTACCTGCGAATATTACGCCCCATTTATATTTCGCATTTTCCTGACGAGCGTTCTCAAATTTTTCTTCAACTGGCAAAAAATTGCGAGTTGACATAAATCTAACTCGCAAAATTATTTTTCAACTAGCATTTTGCGAGTTTGCAAGTGTTAAATTCGAGCCCTGGTAAAGTGCCAAAATTCAGAGCTGACAAAGTTTAAAGGCCAAGCATGGGATAAAGGTTATAATAAACTTTTAAAAGTGAAATATAGCATATATTGCTGTCAAATTATAAAATTCTTAAATTGAAATCCCCTTTTCTATAAATGGACAATCAGTGGACAATGCTAATTTCAGAGTAGGATAATTCCATTACTAAAATCAGGGGTGAAAAGATGAATACAGTTGATTAAGGTAGAGTTGAATTAAAAAAATTTTGATTTTGAAATCTTCATTTTTAACAAACTCTATTAGTACATTTCAAATGATTATAATTATCTAAAGTTTGGAATTTTTGTTATCAAAATCCATATTTTTTTATCAACTTTTTATCAGCATTGTTTTAAAGCTACTTAAATCATGTAAACATGTTCTGACACAATGTTTTATACAACTAAAATAATCTTGTTTATTAAATGGAATGCCGGATTTGTTTCATGTAGGGGGATACTAGAATAATGTGAATTTGATCAAAACAAGTTTTTTGCTGTATGATGCAAGGTTAACTTGAAGCTTGGAAAATATGTTTATGAATGGAGAAAGTGAAAAATGTGTTATTTAAAGAGATATATGTATTTAAGGATTATGATTTTGGAAACATTTTTTGAACTTTTTGAATATTGTTTTATTTTGAGGCAATGTTATTTTATTTGAGGCAATATTGTTTCAAAGTGTATCAAGCAGCTTAGAGTACAAGAGTTTTGTTGTACTAATTCTTTTTAAGTACATTTTGAATACAGTCTTCATGCTCAGGGTGCATTTTAAGTACTGTATTCTTGCTGGATGTACATAATGTTCATGCTTGGGGTACATTTTGAGTACAGTCTTAAATATGCTGGGTGTATATTTTGAGTACAGTCTTAAATATGCTGGGGGTACATTTTGAGTACAGTCTTAAATATGCTGGGTGTATATTTTAAGCACAGTTTTCATGCTGGGGGTACATTTTGAGTATAGAATTCATGCTGGAGGTACATTTTGAGTACAGTCTTCATGCTGGGGGTATATTTTGAGAACAGTCTTCATGCTAGAGGTACATTTTGAGTATAGGCTTCATGCTAGAGGTACATTTTGAGTACAGTCTTTATGCTGGGGTACATTTTGAGTATAGTCTTCATTCTTGGGGTACATTTTGAGTACAGTCTTTATGCTGGGGTACATTTTGAGTACATTCCTTATTTCGTGGGGTACATTCTGAGTACAGTGTTCATTCTTGGGGTACATTTTGAGTATAGTCTTCATTCTTGGGGTACTTTTTGAGTACAGTCTTTATGCTGGGGTACATTTTGAGTACAGTCTTATTCTTGGGGTAGATTTTGAGTACAGTCTTCATGCTGAGGGTATATTTGGAGTTTTTTCTTATAAATATAACAGCCTGACTTATTTTTTAATTCCATTTTTAGCTCGACTTTTTTTTTTTGAAAAAAAAAAAGTAGAGGTTTTGTTATAGTCAGGTCAGCGTTGCCGTTGCCTTCCGAAAACTTGTACCTGGATCATAACTTTTTTATTTCTTGGTGTACTGTCTTCATACTTGGCCACAACAACCCTTTGGACAATACCTTTCAGTAGACCACACTAACCTTGACCTTCATCCATAAATGACCTTGACCTTCAAGGTTAAAAGTCCCAATTTTTGCTTGTTCATGCTGGTATTGGCTGTAACTTTGTTATTTTTGAATGGATTGTCTTCAAACTTGAACATAATAATCTTCAACGATATCCCTTAAAAATAACCAGTCAGACCTTGACCTTCACTCATCAATGACCTTGACTTTGAAGGTCAAATTATTGAAATTTTCATTTTTTTGGCTATTATTGGCTGTAACTTTGTTATTTTTGAATGGATTGTCTTTAAACTTGAACATAATACAGTCAGGGGTGTAACTTAAAGCAGTTATCATTTTTATAACTGAATTAAGTTACATTTTTAAGATCTACAGGTTGCTTCCCTTTGTCTATCCCGATTATTGGTTATCCCATTTAGATTATTCTAAAAATAGGTTACAAGGGCACTAAATCACGCGAGCTTCATTTTATTGATCTTATGTCCTGATAAGCCCCCTTTAATTTTGGAAATAAGAGCGGCTTATATTAAAAACTGAAGTTCAGAGAACAGGGCTAGGGTTCATAATACATGTAATGATATTTGATGTCACAAGCATATTAGGGGGCGGCAGGGCATGCCCCCTCAGAAAATTTTAAAATACTGCACTACATTTCTTGAATTTTGAGCACTGGCTTTTGGTGTCTTTCACTGAGTGTTCAAGTAGTATTTTTTCACATTATTGTTATACAAATAAAAGAAAGAAGTTAGATAATAACTGTTAGTATTTTTGGATCATTAATTACCAAAAAAAAATAACCAATAAATCCAAATTATCATAATTTTTTATCTAGCTTTGACTTACTTTTTAATATACCTTTTACGTTTAATCATTAAATCTATTTTTTTAAATAAAATATCGCTGAATTGAAGCAAGCGTTCGCTCCATTTTGATTTTTTGACAATCTGTGTCTTAAATGCAAACAAATTTAATGGTGATGTTGCACATCAAAGACACCGAACAATCAACGGTTATGTTGACAATTGCTCCCTATTTCAGTTGAATATTCAAAGCACTAATCATTTTTAGCTCACCTGTCACAAAGTGACAGGATGAGCTTTTGTGATCGCTTTTCGTCCGGCGTCCGTCCGGCGTCCGTCCGTCCGTTGTCCGTCCGTAAACTTTTACTTTAAATGACATCTCCTCATAAACCACTAAGCCAATTTCATCCAAACTTCACAGGAATGTTCCTTTGGTGGTCACCTTTAAAAATTGTTCAAAGAATTTAATTCCATGCAGAACTCTGGTTGCTATGGCAACCGAAAGAAAAAACTTTAAATATCTTCTTTTAAAAAACCATAAGAGCTAGAGCTTAGATATTTGGCATGAAACATCTTCTAGTGAGTGTCTACCAAGTTTGTTCAAATAAAAGCCCTGGGGTCAAAATTGGCCCTGCCCCGGGGTCATTGATTTTCCCTATACGCATATAGTAAAAACTTAAAAAATCTTCTTTTAAATAACCCAAAGAGCTAGAGCTAAGATATTTAGCATGAAACATGTTCTAATGGGTGTCTACCAAGTTTGTTCAAATAAAAGCCCTGGGGTCAAAATTGACCCAGCCCTGGGGGGGTCATTGATTTTCCCTATATGCATATAGTAAAAACTTTAAAAATCTTCTTTTAAAGAACCCAAAGAGCTAGAGCTAAGATATTTAGCATGAAACATGTTCTAATGGGTGTCTACCAAGTTTGTTCAAATAAAAGCCCTTGGGTCAAAATTGGCCCCGCCCCTGGGGGGTCATTGATTTTCCCTATATGCATATAGTAAAAACTTAAAAAATCTTCTTTTAAAGAACTCAAAGAGCTATGGCTAAGATATTGAGCATCAAACATGTTCTAATAGGTGTCTCCCAAGTTTGCTCAAATAAAAGCCCTTGGGTCAAAATTGGCCCCGCCCCAGGGGGTCTTTTAAATCTTCCATGCAGAACTCTGGTTGCCATGGCAACTGAAAGAAAAAACTTTTAATATCTTCTTTTAAAAAACCATAAGAGCTAGAGCTTAGATATTTGGCATGAAACATCTTCTAGTGAGTGACTACCAAGTTTGTTCAAATAAAAGCCCTGGGGTCAAAATTGGCCCCGCCCCGGGGGTCATTGATTTTCCCTATATGCATATAGTAAAAACTTAAAAAATCTTCTTTTAAATAACCCAAAGAGCTAGAGCTAAGATATTTAGCATGAAACATGTTCTAATGGGTGTCTACCAAGTTTGTTCAAATAAAAGCCCTGGGGTCAAAATTGACCACGCCCTGGGGGGTCATTGATTTTCCCTATATGCATATAGTAAGAACTTTAAAAATCTTCTTTTAAAGAACCCAAAGAGCTAGAGCTAAGATA